TTTAAAAAAAGTTATTTAAAAAAGTGTATTATTTAACTACTAACTAATTAACTCGTTAACAAAAATTATTATTAAAATTATTTGGTTATTAAAACAATTAATTATTTTAGAATATATAATTTATATTTTTTTCTCTATAATACAATCTCATCTCAAGACTATGGAAGTAAGGCGAGAATTTTTTAATTATATGCAATGTTATTATAATCTAAATCCTTGCGGATAGCAACTTAATGTTAACTTAATAAATTATTTTTATAAAATAAAAATATAAATCAAATGATCAAATTGTCTGATGATTGAGCCACAAAAATATGTAAATTAAATGACAATTTGATTATGAAGAAAGGCGCTTAATTAAAAATAATATACTTTAAACCGCAATTAAACGTAGTGACTTATTGGAAAGCACCAAGCAAATTATCTCAATCCATTGCATCGAGTACCTTACACATAATTCGGTCAAGGTGATAACTATTATCAGCTGCATTTCCACCTCGTACATCCTTAGCGTCTGCTTCCGCTTTGATATTAATTTTAGTGTCCACTTTCTCTTCCTGCAGTTCGGGTATAGCAGCAAAGGCTGAATTGACTATCTCGCGCACACGCTCCAAGTGCTTCTGGAAACGATTCATTGTCTCAACACGTTGGCGTTTCTGCATTTCCATCATAACACGCAATGTTTCTCTCGCCTGATGTGGTCGAAACTCATTCAGCAAATGATGCATGTGCACAAAAAGAACACTCAGATCCTCAATCTATAACATAAATTCAAATAATTATATACTAGTTTATATACCTTTGTATATAAACAAATATACCTTTGTATACATATATACAAAGGTATATATGTATACCTTTGTTACTTACCTTTTCTGTGCGCCGGGGACTGTCGGGAAATTGTATTAAAAAATCAATCAAATCCAGAAAATTCACAAAAAGCGAATGATTCAATTTTTTGAGTTCTTTGCGACGATCGAAGTGTATTGGTATGAGACGCTTAATGTTCTGAGATTCCAGCGAACGTATCATTTCCTCATTGTTGTACTGCACGCCGAACATGCTGTAGGTGTCTGAAATGGGTGGCGGTGGACGAGGTGCACGATTTCGACGTATATTTTCATCTGTGTAGAGATTTATGTATTGCGTTGGCGGCAGCGGCAGGCTTATCACCCGCGTCACCTCCGGATTCGCCATGTCTATGGATGGAATTTTTGCAATTTTTTTAACACACGGTACAGAGAAGAAATTTCAATTGCTTTTTTTTTATTATAAATTTTATGATAAACACTCTTAATTTTATATTTGTTGTTGATTTTTGTTATTTGTAAAAATTCCTGTTAATTTTTAAGACGTTTACAATTTGTTAGCAACTTTTGTCAATTTTAGCGCATATCTCACTTGTGTGGATAGGAAAATGTTTTTGAATAAAATTCAAGGTCTTTTTGATTTGTGCAACATAAGGCAGCTTTTGATTATTATGGCCGTGTGCGAGTTCGAGTAAATTGAAATTTTTTAGGAATTTTTTGCACTGCACTTATGTAAATATTTATTTATTGCACTTATTTATTACTTTTGGTTTAAAGTTTTCAAATTTACTTATTTATTTATTAAATATCTTATAAAATATTTACAATGGCAACACCAAATATACCTAATTTTTATCTCATTTACCCTATTCGAAAGTCTGCTAACATTCATTGCCATACCGACATACTTTACTATTTCGGATTTTGCTCATTATAGTCATTAATGAGGATGATTTAATATATACAAATCTTTTATATAAATGAGCTTATTATCAATAAATCAGCTGATTAGAGGCGGAAATTGTCGAATGCAATTTTTAAAAATAAATTTCCCACACAGTAAATTAACAAAATTTGAAATATTTGTTTTATATTTCATAAGATGTAAACAAACAACATCAGAGCTGTAAACAATGGCACTGAGGAAGCAAGTATTTAAAAAAAAACTTTGTTTTTAAATATTCATATATATAACTGATATATATATAACTCATATATATAAAATGTATATAAATGATTTAATATAAATGTTTTATAAATGAATACGAACTATGTTTGAAAATGAAAAGTAAGTGAAACTAAATGTAAATAATGCGCCGATAACTGATTCGACACTTCGAATTTAAAATTTAGCAAAATCAAATATCCTGTAATGATTTATTTATTAATGCTAAATTTTTCATACAAAATATATTATACAAATTTAACACTTAGATTTAATTTATTTAGCATGCTAAATTTATAATTGGAATATTCATGAAAGTCGCCCGTAAATTGCCTTAACTGAGTGACTTATTTAAATTTCCATCGCAAAATGTTTTGTCATCAGATGTTTTCTTAACTCAGTTGTCATTTTAACTTAAATAAAAATAATTCATGAAGAAAGTTGCTTATAAAAATAAATCAAATTTATAAAAATTAAATAAAATAAACCAAATTATTCATTTATGATATGACTGATATTAATGTAAAAAATATAGTTTCTTGAAGATATAATACCAATTAAGGAACGAAACGCATTCAATTAATGGTTTTGATTAATAAATAATTAACCAAAAATATATTACCATTTCGATGAAATTTTAAATACGTATGTAATTACGTTTTTATTGTTGCAAAAACATTTTACATAGTTTTTTTAAAATTTAAATTTTATAATTTCACAAATTTTATAATTTCGCAAATTTGTGTCTTAAAAAATAAAAATTGTACCTAAAGGGTTAAATGAGTTAATTGCACAATGTCAGAAATTTACATGTGTGTGTAATGAAACTGGATTTATCTTACTTTCCAATTGGAATTATATTTATATTTTTGACATACAGATGGCGCACTATCGTGGTGAGTATTCTTCATACGCGCTGTTATTTCTTGAAAATGCAAAACAATTTTAAATTCAAAAATTATTTTATAAAATTATTTATATATTTATTAAAATAATATAAAATTTATATCAGTATTGATATAAATCACAATATTTTTAATATATATATATTTTTGTTATAATTTTGTTAAAAGTTAATAAAAACGTCTCGAAGCCTGACAAAAAACTAAATTCAAATAAGAAATTTTATATTATATAATGCATATAATTAGTAATACATAAATCGTATATAGCCTAATTATAAATTTACAAACAAATATTTTTATCATAAAAGTGAAATCTAATTTATTTAAAATTTATGCATCGATGTAAATAGTCCAATAATAGTACTTCTTCGATGATTATAATTGCTAGAAGGACTTAATTGCATTATAATGTGATATAAATGCAAACTTATAGATAACACTTTTTTATATACGAGTTTACTTCAAATGAAGAGGATTGCTGAGAGTAATGCTCAAAGCACAATTAAGCAATTATCTCCTACTGCAGTAGTTGACGACTCTCATTGTGGTCCGAATATATAGAATACGGTAGCTATCGACTGTACCTTAATTGTGTTCAATATATAAATAAAAGACCACGCCTATACCATTAAGCTCCATTGCGATACCAAATCAGACTCTTGATTTTTCAGCGATAGTGTGCATCGTTTAGGATACGCGTCTTATTAGCGAATTTTATTAGGATTTCAACAGAAACCTCAGGTATGTGCTCCAGTCCAGAAAACTGACAGCCCCCAAGTATTTGTGTCGAGTTCTTGAGAGAGCCGGGCAGTTACACAGCACATGCTTCAGACTTTCCTTTGCATCCGGCTCGTTGCATTTCCAACAAGCATCGCTTGCAGTGTCGCGCAAATAAACAATACAAAAATTTAAATTCAAACCAAAACAGCTGATCCTTACATTAACACAAATTTTACTTGAAATAAAATGTGCGAGTAGATAATAGATAAATAAATGATAATAATTCTAGTATAGTTAAAGCTTAGTGTGGGGCAGGGATAAGCCCTCAGCCACAAAAGAGTAAAAGTGCGCAATAGCAATAACTCAAATCACAACAACAACAACAACCTGACAGGAATGTTACGCTCTCTCAGATAATCTCATTTACTCAAAAATTTGCTAGTGGAACACACTTGTGTATACACAGTGTTACGGCCATGTTATGCAGAGAATTATAGTCATTGTAGTAATTTGCTCCTAAAAGGTGTAAATTTTGAAATTTATTACTAAACAACACTGTTTTGCCTTAGTGCCGAGGCACAAATACGCCGGCTCTCATGCCGGAATTTGAACGGCCATATTGTTTTTTGTCTCATTCTCAAATTTAAAATTTGCATTGAAAACAACAACAATTGTACTCATGCCGTGCCCAAGACACTCTGCATAACATGGCCCTTACTCAAAGTTACTACGAGTAGCTCGCGGAACAGACCTATTGTAGGACAATAGGACAATTTTTAACAAATGTTCTCGCTCCAAAACCTCACGACATTGTTTGCATGATTCTTAGACAATTGAACGAAGACCTTCAATATGACTCTGTGATTAAAACGTAGTGTTCGGTCAGATTCTTTGCAATTGGGCGCAGTCGTTAAAAAAAATTAAAAAAGGTTTATAAGTAATGTTGTTTATAAAATCAAACAACTTCTCAACTTGATTGTTCAAATAAGAAGAAATTTATTAATTTTAAATTATTATTACAGTGCGTGTGTTTTACAAGAAAATCACGGCACTTTACTGTTTCATTAAATTTAGAATAAGCAAGTACCAACAGTTTAGAAGGCGACGAGTTGATCAAGCTATATATACGGGAGCGAATACATACGATTATGTTACTTATAAAGTAAGAGAACGTAAATTACCCCACGTGTAGAAAAATTAAAAATTCTCACACACACTATTAGCAAGATGAGGGTGTGTGTGTATGTGTGTGTTTAAAATAGAAACTCACCACGCGCGTAGATAAGTGGTGCACGCTCAGGTGAACTTTTTAACATTCCAACAACTCGCCATGTTGCATTTATTGTGAATGTAGCGTCTCGGGAAGATCAAAACACAAAATGGAAAAAATAAATACATATATATATAGAAAAGAAGCTGAGAAAAAGGAAAACACTGAAGTGTAATAAAAACAATCATTTTAAAATATTTTCAATTAAAAAATATGCCTCAAGGAAGTGTCTGCACAATACGATATTTGGAAAACAGTGAAATCAGTGAAGGCATCAGTGAAATGCACATTGCCAGATAGAGTCGTCGCATGTCAGGCCAGAAATCAATTCACATTTTATTTTACATTTAATTAAATATTGTTTACATAAGTCCACACGATGGCAACAAATTGTAAGTAAATTGTAAATTCTAATTATATTCTCACAAGTGGAAAGTTTTACAAAAAATTAATTAAATTTTCGCGCTCTAAGTGGTGCGATTTGTAATTTATGATTTCTGAGTTAAAATCTGTGCAAATTATTGAAAAATATAAAATTATTAAAAAAGCAAAAATGTGTTTTTTAGGTGAATTACGGGATACCGTTATACAGACCGCCAATAAACATCCCAATTCGAAAATATCGAAACTTATCTTTTCCTTACACGAAGAGCCAACGCTGGGCAATATTGCGCTGTTGGTGACGGAGCTGGCAGCGCAGAGCACCGGCGACTTCGATTTCCTAATGAGCTACGTAAGTATGAAGACTCTCGTGTAGGTCACGTGTAGATATGTGCTTCACATTGGCTTTTCTCTACAGTTTCTAGATATGTTCTACGATTTAATTTTAACCTCCAACGAAGATGTGCTAAACGAAGCTGGTCTTTTGATTTACAATGCAACCAAAGTAATTTCGCGGGCCGAGGACAACATCTTCGAAAGAGCGGGAGCACAGCTCAACTCACTGATAAGCAATGCCGGCGAAGCAGACGCTGCTAAAGCCAACGGGTATGTTACATATATAAATATATATATATATATTTTTTTTTGCAATAAAAACAGAGCACGTTTTTATTTAAATCAAGTTTAAAATAATTAATTAACGGAGTTTTTGTTGTTAAAGCAAATTGTTTACTTCTTGGTTTTATTCGAGCAATTTTTGTTTTTGTTCGCTTTCTGTGTATTTTCGGTTTATTTGTTTTTTAATGCTTTGCTTTATTTTTTTTTTTAAAAATTCGGTAAAAATTGTTTACTTTAAACACTCATTTGTTTTTTTTTTGTATTTATTTTGCATTTTTTTATGCTTAAAATTAAACAAAAACGCGAGAGTAAAAAAGTTATGTCACATTTAGAACAATATTTAACTATACTTTATCTTTATATGTATTGCATGCAATACATATAAACTTTGTTAATAACGATTTATAAAGATATATATATTATATATATTTTCTTAGATTAAGTTGCTTTATCAATATAAGTTAACACTGTCTGTTTACTTAGTGTTATTATAATTAGGTGAACGAACACATACCATCTTAACAGAATCAATTATGAAAGGCAAGCAATAACCCCAGAGCCTCAGAAAAATTTAAATAATCTTGGTCAAGAGGATAACATTTGATAAACACAAAAAGTAGTTATAACCAAATGCATAGAACTAAGAACAATTACTTCTTATCAGGTTATAGAAAACCGGCGCAGTTTTAGTTGTATTGAGTATACTTGATGTTAGTGAATATCATAATTATGATTTGAGATTATAGTATGAGATTATGTAATATAGTAATGAGATTATAGTATTAAATCAGATCGTGTATTATCAGTTAAAATCATTTAAAAAGTGTGGTTCCAAGAATGACTGGGTCTACGACCCGGACCCATTCGTCAACACCGACGATCAAGTGCCATTCATCACCCATAAATGATTTTACAAGCAGACCCCAGCGGGTTATAACCAGGGTTACGAAAAACAATGTGCTGTGCACAAAAATGCAAAGCACCATGCACAAATGTTGTGCTAAATAATATTTCACACCACAAATGTGTACTTTGTCTTTATATGTATTGCATGCAATTCACCACCATTCACCACCCATAGAGGATTTTACAAGCAGACCCCAGCGGATTACAACAGTTAAAATATGCTGTTAATATAGAAAACCTTGACTAGTGATAGTTCTATCAAATCTGGTTACTACTACTACTTTTGATATCTGTCAAATGATATCATCTACTTGATCAAAATGATTGAAGTCGTATAAAACCATTATATTATACCAGTTATTTCATTTGATGAAAGAATTTTATGTTTACTTTAGCCAATTATAAAAAAGAGAAAATAAAAGATACTTACGATTGGGATTGATTAAAATTTTATTATAACATATAGCTTGGACAAGGCCATTGACTGTAAAGTATAGTAGTATCATTACGTCCTTCTTTAGCCAATTTATACTATATTAAAACCTTTTGTGTTAATTTTTGACGACTAAAACTTGACAGCCATAACTTGATTGATATTCGTTTTGAAAGGATCGAAAGTTTAAGAATTGTTCACTTAAACACAATAATTTCGGGTTACTTCACAAAAAAACTTTATCAATAATAAATTATATAATTTTGATGGCCAAGTTAATTTACATAACCAAAACGTTTATTTAGATATCCAGGAAATTTCTGCGTTCTGTAAAAAGAACATATTTTCTATACTTATATCTTTAATTACACCTCAAAAAATAGATGGTAATAATATGGCTGTAGGAGTCACAAATAAGAGTTTGAGTCATACCTTTCTCATTTTCAATAAAATATAGTTCTTAAACACAAACCAAATGCCACAAAATACAGTACTTTTTATCAAGACAATCGTCATTTAAAAAAATTTAATTCTGTCATAATATCACACTAAACACCACATATTTTTGTGAATACAAATATCGAAAGATGTTGTATTCGATTCGAAAACTTTGTTTATTGACATATCCATCATCCACCAAGTGAAAAGTGAGCCTCATCATTAAAGATTATGCTGTAGTATATTTCTACAGTTTTAACATGTTCAGTGTTTCTTAAACGGTTCATATTGTGATATGGCAAATAAACTAATGTCTATAGGTTTATGTTTGGCAAATGTTATTCAAACAGTGTAGCCAAATTAGCAACACGAATTGCTTGTTGTAGCAACTTTAAGCTATTTCTTCTTCCTCTTCAAAGTTCTTTGTTGACTTCAAGCGTTGGGTAGCATGATTAATTTTCCTAATTAGTGGACAGCGCACCTTGTATAAAAGATCCATAGACGTTTCAACAGAAACCTGATAGAATAACTTCATCTAAATGTAAAACTTGATGCATTTACTGCTATTTTATAGCATACTGAATTATTTATACTGTAATTCTCATGAATCTGTCTAATTATTGTTTGTAGCCACGATCTTAACAGGATGTCATTCTCTATAGAGACAGGATTCTTTATAACTGTCTGGCTCTCTTCTAAGATAACTGGACCAGAAATTCCTATCCTTATCTGATATTGTCATTCCCCAAAGAGATAATATTTTGGCTTTCAATTGAAGCGTGTTATGTCTTCAGTACAGTAAGGATCGGTCAGTAACACAATATATCAGCCATATCTGCAGTGCTCCGCTCCGCTGAGAGACATTCTATTCTAATATATTTTATTCATTGTATGAAGGTCTCCTCTATATATATCATCATCATTATCAATTTCTGTATCTTCCATTAGATCATAGAACCTCGCTTTATACATATACTATATATTTATTACAATGATTAAAATACTTAAAAATGTTATTTTAATAATTTTTAACTGATTTTATTCTCGTTGTTCACAGAAATCCAACAGTCGAAAAACCACCAGCCCGAAAAACAAAGCGAAGCAAAAAGATAATGGCGGAAACTGAAAATCCATTCGAGATGGAACTCTCTTCGAAACCAATTAAACCGCTAACCAGAGAAAAACGGTTTACAGATAGTCAAATTGAACCAACAAAACGTAAGAGTAACATGACTTCAACACCTTATACATATCCGGTGGTGTGGCAAGATGTTAACATAATGGATAAAGATAACACAGAAGATACAGACTTGAAAAGAAACTATAAACTATTTACATATCATATTGAACATAGATACAATACCCTAGTGCCGGATATAAATTTTAGAATTCATTTCAAGGTGAAAGATTACATACAGAAGGAAAAAGGTTTATTAAGTAATCAATTGAAGTCTCCATTGAGAGACTTTGGTAATTGGCAACCACTGTCAGAAGAATGTGTCAATAAATATTTAGACTTAGAAGATTTAACATTTGAAAGAGAAATAACTGGACAGCAAAACGGAGAAGAAACTCGAGAAAAACTCTTAGAACTACTTGATAGTGCAGGAAACGAAGTTACAGCAGAATCAACAACAGCAGCAGAAACTGCGACTTCAAACACTACAACTGTGATTATTACAGATGAGAATAATGTACAAACGAGTGAAGTTAACAGGTCCTTAGATGCGACTGAAGGACCGAATGAATCTAACACTGATATAGCAGATACCACACATGAAGCTGAAACAGTCAATAAGGAAAATGTAGATGCGAATAGCACAAGCATATATAACACTCAAGAATCTGGATTTGGAGACATGACGACTGAGTCCGATTCTGTCTTAAATTCACTTGTGAACGAAAACTTGGATTCAAGTAATATTAGTCAAAACGTATCTGCTACAAATGATTGCACTGATTCCGGAATTAATAGTGCTTTGGACACCACGGATACAACCAATAAAACTCAAAGTTCAAATGATTGCACCAATTCCGAAATTAATAATACCTTGGATACTACAAATACAACCATAAACAATGATTCTAACGTTGATTTGTGTAGTAGTGTGGCTGATGCAAGTAAGATTTCGTATAATACACAGGAATCAGGTATAGATATTAGCTTTCCTGATGATGCCAATGGGGAAAATACTGAAACCACAAATACACAAGAAGTTTCAGAAAATATTGATGATGACGTTCATATGGATGATGACTTAGAAAATACAGACAATGGTAAAGATAATATAAATTAAGAATTCATATAATTTAATAATTCTTTTCATTGCAGTTAACTTAAATGAAGATCAAGCTGTTGTGCCCGGTGTCGATAGTTCGGCAAAGAATACGGCATTTCCTCCAAACAAGGAAAACATAACCATAACTGTAGATGACAGTATAAAAAATCTGCTGAACGCCCCCCAAGTGGAGCCAGAAGTTTACAACTTGCCGAACAAAACAACGGAACCTGTTCAAGAAATAAAATTAAATATTTTCAAGTTTAAAGAAAAGCTTATAAGAAAAAGGGTTTTATTTCGATTAGGTCCTGATTTTGATTTATTTATTAAAGCAGTAAGTATTTTACTGTATAACATAATCAATCAATTATGTTAATCAATATTTTCAACATTTATTTTTAGCGTACACTCAAACGGCAGCGTGGGGAAAATCCAGCCGAAACTCGCAGTACAAAACTTTTAAAACAAGCCTTATCACGGAGCCCGACTTGGTCTCTTCAATTAGGTTTGTTAAACGAATATATATATTTTTTTTAATATAATAAAACAAAAAAAAATTAATTTAAAGATTCCGATTTTCTTGGATTCGAGGAACTACCCGCAATAAAAACAAAAGAAAGAAATTTCAGTAAAGATTCAGGAACGGGTACGGATCTTAACATTAGTGACGACGAATTTTTGGATACAGAAGATAATCATTTGTTTAGATTAGAGACAATAGAAGAAGTAAACGAAGATTTAGAAATGAGAGAAACTGACCTTTGTTCAAATGAATTGTCGTCCATAACCGTACCGACAAATCCCCCCATTAACTGTGATCAGAATTCAGGAAATGACTGCGCTCTAAGTGGTGAAAATAACACCACTACAATGGAGTCAATAGTGGATGAACCCTCGACTAGTGATAATCATAATGCAAATTCAACAGAACCAACCGTGGATATGGCTAGAGGCGATAATAATGCAAGTATAGCTGAGAACACTATGAATGTACCTGTACAGGATAAGGAAAATAATACAAGTGCAAATGACGTTACTGCTGCTGTTGAATCTAATAACAGAGAAGAGAATAATGAATGCACAACAGAGTTAACGGAAAATATCGCTCGTGCAACAAATGCTGATAACAATGATGTAGTAATGAATGAGTTAGACAATGATGTTAGTGATACAGAATTCATAAATTTTGATAACATGTTAGAAGAGGATGATAATGATGATGAAGATGAAGATGGAGATGGAGATAATGTAGACGATCTAGTAAAAAAAGTAAAATAACATTAATTAATTTAGAAATGTACTTATTGTTTATTTATTGACTTATTATTTATTAGACAAGAAGATGGCATAAAAAGTTACGACCTATGCTGGCAGAAGCTCATGCTAGAAGTACCTTTGATGTTTATGAATTAGGTACTGAGATAATCAATAAAATACTGGAAGTTGAAAGCAAGAACAGGGTGTGTACATTTCAAGATATAATGGAAGGCAAGGATTGGTCATATGTTGCGCGATATATTTTAGCGGCATTATTGTTGGTAAGTTTTTTGTTTCGTTTAGTTTACACATTAAAAAATTCAATGGTTTTAATGTTTGAAAAAGGTTATCCTTTAGCTTGTGATTTAAACAAAACAAACTGCTCAAATATTTTGGGCACTATCTGGTGCTCGATCATTTGCTATTATGTGCGTGAATAAAGAGAAACATTATTTAAAATACTTCATTTTATGCGAGCATTTGCTTGTATAGTCCCTATTGGGAATGGTGAGCGGTCCTAGTTGCCCAGTGGTACCGGGACGTATACTCGACCGCTTCTGCAACCATTGGCTTTGATATATTAACCCGTGTTCCTAGCGGGTTACAACAACAACATCTATGAAGTGACAATTTTTCTTCATTTCGATTTAGACTAATTTCAATTAAATCCCACACAGCTCTCAAACATTTTTTTAACGCAAATAACTCTAATTCTTCTCACTTATCCCTTCCTTCCACATCCTAACCCATGTATTCCTATTTTGTAATTATCTTCTCCTACAATATAGATCGCTTCAGGCTACAACAGCAATAGCATTTGCTGATATGTGAGTTTGAGATTTAAAGTGTTCAATCTAAATATTCTGAATTATAATTTTAAATATTACGATTATATATTATAATTATATACGTACATTAACATGTGATATGTATTTATTTAACGCAAGAAATATTGTAATAAATTATCTATCTGATCTAGATCTTGTGACTCTGAATCTAAGCACTGATTTTATTTGTCTTCCCTGGCCAAAATATATTGTTACTTATATGAAATATTAAGAAAGTAATATTGTAATAAATTACCAATGTGATCTGAATAGTGATATTATATATCTTACCTGAGCAATAAACTATTGTTACTTATAGCAAATAATAAATAATGGTATAGGTCAACATATAATTATATTTTAAGTTTTTCGTTTAAACTAAATATTGCTCAGTGATTTTATTATATTAATTTTCGCAGATAAATCAACGAAATATCGATATAATTAAAGATGGGCAAGCCGTGCTAGAAGATCGTGTATTTATGTCACATGAAATATCATTCAAGTTGTTAACTACAAAACGACATGAAGTTGCAATTGAGGATAACATTGGAATGGTTGGCAAAACCAAACAAAATATTGTACAAGAATTACCACACAAACGCATTGAACCAAAACCAGTTAAAGTGCTTAAAGCATTAACGCCACGTACAATGGAACCATCCACTTCGACTCCAATACCTACTAAAAGAATTTTACTTGAAGGTAATAAGAAAGCTCCCTCGTCGACACAGTTAAAACGTAACAATATCGTTACAATCAACGCGTCGACTGCTAAACGAGTTTGTATTGATACTGAATTAAAAACACTTTTAAACGACGTAACGCCTATTAGAAATATTAGCAAAATACGTCGTTTGACTATGGATATAGATTCTGGTGTCCATACACTAGACGAAACCAGTAGTCAGAGTAATTGCTAGTATTAAAATATTGCATTTCCGTAATGCAATTAATCCGAAATGGTACATGTTTGTGATTAGTTTTAAGCGATATGTATGTATAATGTATATAGTATAGTATATATATAGTATAACATAAAATTGTAAAAAGTACAAAAGACTAATAATCGGATTTACCGATTTTTGGTTTATATCGATTTATGCAAATAATATAAATTGTTGTAGCAATTAAAAGAAAAGGTGGAGATTGATACAATCTACAAAGTACAATTGACAATACTACTTAAAACCATATTTTCATTATTATTTTTTTCAAATTCGAATTTAAACAAAACATTCTGAACAACTTATTAACTAGAAGTCTTATATATTGACATGTCAAAATAATATGATTCGTATTCAAAATGTAATTCCACATGATCTGAAATTTATTCTTAATACACATCAAATTGTTATCTTCACAAAAAATCTATAAAGTGCGATATAGAAACGTTTTCAATTAATTAATTTATGTATATTGAAATAAAAAAGTATCATATTGAGCAGCGACCCCCAAATTTGTTCGTTCCGATTTATGTTTCGATTCAATTAAAAGTATTATCGGTGCGATTCTGAAATTTGTTTCGTCAAAAATAACAACCATTTTTTTCGGTTCAGTGAATATTTTTAATGTTTTTACATTACAAATAGTTTTTTTGTCATAATTAAAATCATTTTATTCATAGTTAACGAATTTATTCATATAAAAAAAAATTATCTATGTTTATAAATAAAAACGATTTAGAACTTTTAAGTTTAACATTTAAAAGCTAATGGATGTGATTAAATAGGTACCGAACTGTACGCTGCAGAACAGAAATAAATCCATAAACAGGTTCGGTTCCGTTTTTCACTCCGGTAAATATAGTTGTTAGTTTACGATTCTATTCCGGATAAAAGCCATGATATCCAATATCTTATTTAAATAAAGTAAATAATAAAAATTAAAATGTTCAAGATTTTAAGAATATTTTAGATATATTTCAGTTTCATATCTTTTCCATTTATTTAAACTTAAGATTGTTCTATTCCTATGGTGTCCTCCGTTTCCCACTTAACCTCGAATCAATAACAAATTTTTTTATAAAAACCTTTTTCGTTTTAAAATTGAAATTTATTTTAATTATTATTACTTTAATTATATTACATTATATTATATTATAATTATTACTTTAATATAATCAAACAAAAAAACAATATTTTATTAAAACCCACCTTAACAATAATTCTAAAGAATATTTGCCATATAGTTTTGCTGTCATATTTTTGAAATATGATTCATATAATCTCATTAATAATATACTGATTTTTACAGTATAAATTTATGTAAATTATAGTAAAATTAAAAAAAAAAACAACTGAAACAGAAAACATAAATAATAACCACTGATTTCTTTACAGAAGAGCAATAACCAATGAGCGTCACCAACTGAGTAGTGTAACCGTTTTGCTTTTGTTTTTTTTTTTATTTATTATTTAATATTTTTATTTTTACAAAATTCTAATGTTACATTTCTAACAGTTCACATTTTTTTTTTCTTTTTTGCACTTTTTATTTTATTTTGTGTTAGATATAATTATAAATATACGTTAATCTTTTTATTTTTTTCTACTTAAGTTTACAAATATTTATTTCATTTATTAGTTTTATAGTAAATTTTTTTTATGTCAAGTTATTTAATAAGCAATTAATTTTCATAAAATTTATATTTACTATTTTTTCAATTACTATTTTTTTTTTATATTTACAAATTTTCAGTTTTTTTTACTAATAGAACAATGAATTTAAGTAAACCTTGTCATATTATATTATTATAATATTTAATTTAAGAAATTAATATTTATATTAAAATTACATAATGCTTATTATATAAATTAATTAATTAATCATATAAATGAATGTATGCAAACATCTATTTTTAATTTTATAATATTATTCGTTATATCAATTATATAATTTATTTAAATTAGTATTTTAATTTGTTACTGTTGTTACTCTACACAGTTACTCTATAAGAGTGCCTTATTAATCTATTTTAGTAAAAATTTATTTATTTATTCTTTAATTTATTGTTGATTTTTTTCTTAATGGCTAAAATGTGTTTTTTTAATAAATTTTTTTGTAAAAGGTACATAAATAATTAAAATTTAAAAATGTTTCTTTATAGTATTCATTTTTTTTTAATATTTTGACTATATGATTATAAAATATAGTAGAAGTATCAGGAAAAAACATTATTTCTTAAACACAAGAAAAATTTTTCTATTTTGTTTTTATGTACTTAATGAAAAGAATTTATTAAAAAAATAATTATTGACAAATTAGTTTGTTTCAATAAATATATTTTCTTAATTATAAATATTTTAAAAATAATTTTAAGAATTTTTATTTGATATAATTAAATTTATTATTATCAAATTTAAATTTATATCACTTTAATTTATTCTATGAGATAACATTATTTAAATATTTAATTACTTTGAATTTTATATTTTTAAGGCTATAATTTATATTAATTATTTTTTATAAAAGATTTTTTAAAACTGTATTGTATTTCAATTTCATACATCGTTATTTATGAACCTTTTGTGTAATATTTTTTAAAATTTTCTATTATTATTTATAAATGTTTTACAAAACCTTTCTTTATTACATTAAAAATAAATTTTTTTTGAGTTTTTTTTTGCTTTTCTTTTGTTTGCTTATGATATTCCATTTATTTTTGAGTTATTTTGTTTATAATAATTCTATTTATTTTTAATTGTTAAGTTATTTTGCTTATAATATTCCATTTATTTTTGCGTTATTTTCCTTTTAATATTCTATTTATAGTGTTTTATTTTGGAGTTATTTTGGTCCTTTTTTTTTTGTTTAAATTACTTTAATTTATATTTTTTTTATTATTATTTTTTAAAGTAAAAATATTTAATATTTTTATATGTTTATAATTAAGATATATATTAATATTCTTGCTTTATACTGCTCTTTTATAATTTTTTACATATATATATATATATTATTTTTTTATTGTTTTTGATTTTTTTTACTTTTGTTTTGTATTTTCATACATATATTTATTTTTTTTTAAATAAATTTGATTAAAATATTTAAAATAAATTTTTACATGCTTTTTTGATTTTTTCTTTTGTTTTCCTTTTAATTACAAAATAAATATTTGTGTATTGTTTTATATTTTTATAATTTTTTATAATTATTTTTGTAGTTATGTTGTCTTTTGGATATAAATTACATTTTTTTTTACTTGTTACATTACTCAGTATAAAATTTTTATAACAATTTTATTTTTACTATTTAATTGTTTTGAGTTTATTTTTAAGCTACGAGTATAAAGTGTTTGTGGTTGGTGTTATTTGCATAAAAAATAACTATACTTTATTTAAAAATTTGCAAAAAGTTTTTAAATATTTTTAAACAAAATTAATTTTATTCGAATAATAAGTAACATTTTTTAATAAATACATAAAAGTATTTTATATTAAATACAAATAAAACATTTTTATATTTTAAAAATATTAATTATAAACAATCTAATTATTTGTCGAAGAATTTATTTAAACATTGCATTGCACTTATTTAATTATAAAAGTTATTTTGGTTTTTTTTTTTTTTTTAAGTTTGATATAATATTGTATAAAAATTTAATCAAAAATATTTGGTGAATTTTTACAATAAACATTTAAAAAGGAATTATTTATATTTAACATTTAAAAATTATGCTTAATTAGTTAAGTTAATTAGATAATTTAGGATACCATATGCATATATGAGTAAAATGTAACACTGCCTTTAGAACCGTATTTCAATTCATGATGCTCGATTTATTATATATATTACAATAATAAGAGGTTATAATAGTTCTAATATATATGGTATAGTGTACATGTAAAATTAAATATCATCATAATTTGTTGAGTGAAATATGAACATTTTTCATAATTCGTTACAGCAAATATTTGTGCACGTCTAGTGTTGACTACATTTAAGCTTAGCTACTATTTCCATAAATGAAAGAGAAATGTGATTTCCCTTTTGTTTAATGAAATTGTATGACTTTGATGTAGAATATATATAAACACTAGCACTATACAAACCCTTAAGTTTTCTTTAATGTTCCTTAGGTAGTTTATCCCAAATTAATAATAATGAATTAAATACTTCTTGTTTTACAAATTCAAATCATACAATATATAGTTATAACTTTAAGTGCTTTAATACGACCCAAAATAAATATAATTTAAAATCATATTCAATATATATTCTGTAGTCTACTTATATCTGTATAATAAAGAATAAAGCATATATTATATATATATGTGTGTGGAATATGTAAATAATACATTTGTATACGTAGTTAAACGTAAGCTGTATATTATGTGTATATATAAGTAAGTTTTAAATATGTAATTTATGTATAATTCATAAAAAAAATTAAAACGATTGCTTTTATTTTAATGGAATAATTTTAATAAACACACATTTGAAATATTTTGTCTATATAATCAGGGGCATAGCTGTTCCAAATCTGTACCTGAATTATAAAGAGATAGGAATGTTTAGTATATATTCTCTTGTAAATAAATTTTAAACAGTTCAGTATAAGCTATATGTTTCATATAGTCGCAAATATATACACTTCTAACTCTTAAAAAAATATATATATTTATGTATATACGAATATATAAAAAGCAATATAAAATCTATTTTAAAAATTTTAATTATATATTTCTTACTATATAAAAAATAATAAAAATGCAATTAAAAAATATTTGTTTTAATTAAACTGATTTAACTCGATGAAGTTAATTAACAATTAGATCAAAATTTCAAAGTAGTTCCCATAAAAGAATCAAATATTTTCTGACCAATTTGCTAGAAGATTACTCAGTGTTAATAATTAGGAAACATACAATACTACTGCTATAACCGTACAGATATTTGACTACAATACTATCTTATAAAATAAGTTAGTAATATAACATTAAGGAATTAAATATCGTCCGCTCTGTAAACAATTAAGTAGGCATGTGAGACTTGCTTTCAAATTCTTAAATCAAAGTTGACAATGTAAATAATATTGTATGCAACTATTTTGTCATAAATATCTTAGAAGCAAGTAATACACACGCGATTCCAGAAAAGGCGCGTATAACTGGAACATATACCTACTTTTGTTCTAGTTGTAACCTGTGAGGACCTAAAAGCAAATAACATGAAAGGTTTTACAAGACGAATATACGGGTTCGGAAGTGAATGGGTGATGGTTGAAGAAAGTGGGCGGAGAATCAGGGAGAATGGTTGGATTATGTGTATGGGTAAGATTTAAATTTAAATCAACCTAGATCCAGACGAAGGAACTTAGTCACTGGAATTTCCGTAGCTACTCGTCAATTACAACGAATAAGTTCCCTTCACCATTCTCAAAAAGAATTTTTGAAAAGATTAAAAACCTCTTAGTGATATGTAAGAGGTTAAGTTAAGAACCATTGTCATAATTAATTTTACAAAGGTGTTAAGGTATGATTTAGTTTGCAAGTTATTAACATATGTTAGTTAAATCCAATGTAATAGACAACTAATTAATACAAACTCTAGCTCTTTTCAATATTTGTATTTTAATATCTTAGTTAATTTATACAGTGTTGAGTTAAGTTACAACTTTTCGAATTTTATAAATATTTTTGACCATTATGTTAAACCATTTACATATTTATATATCTAATAATATAATAAAGTTATCACCACTCAAATTCATACATAAATTTTAAAATATAAAAGTAAAATAAAATGTTTTTGGATTGAAATCTTAATATTTGTTTTACTTTTTTGTCATATTCCACGAAAGGTTTTGTAAATAAAAATTAATGCTATTCCGATTCACTGTCCGAGTTTGACTTCTCATCTTCCTTTTTCTCATCGCTCTTGTAATGACGATACTCTTTCTTAAGCTCCCACATATTCTTATGCGGATTTTTCATGTTATAATCACAAACTTCTTTAAGAATTTCTTTTAAATATCCTATAGGCTGCTTTGTGATCTTTACTAAGTCCTTAATATTATAATATTGATGCTTTTCGAATGCATTGAAGAGCATATCCATTACAAAATTTTTATCATCACGTGCCTTTTTGCCTTCAGCTTTCTTTCGATCGCGATACTCAATCTGTAATAATAATAATAAGTCAACAAATTATTATTATATTCAATTTATTATGTTTATATAAAATGTACTCACGTTGTGAGCATGATCCCTCACAGGTTTGAAGTTTTGCACAATTTTGTCAATAGATTGAACTCTACGCTGTGGTACAGAAGCCTTGCGTATTGATTCTAGTTTTAAATTCATATAAGTATCATCAGCTATTGGTCTGCATTCTAGTTTTTGTACTATACGTCCTTCCATATATAATTTTTCCGATTCACTTGGTAACTGCTCCTTTGATGATTCTTTACCATTATTTGCTTCGGCCGAAAAGACACCAAGTGTTTGTTTTGTCACAACTGAAACATCGAGTATATGTTCAGTAGGTATTTTTCCTTCAGGTTTCAATTCTACTACTTCGGGTGTGAGTGATAATGATACTTTTGCTTTAAGTCCAGGAGTTTTTGTGATTCTCAGTTTGCCAACATCCATATTGGATGGCGCACAATCCCATTTCTGTGCTATGTACTTCGGGACTTTAACTAGCCATACACCGCGTCCAGCGTTGGATAAATCCAACTCTTTGTCACTTTTTTCTTTATCTTCTTTAGACATATTTACAAACTCTGTAATTTAATTTCAACCGAAGAGTTTAGTTTACGTTGGCAATTGACAAGTACCAGTGTTGTAAAATGTATTTATTACAGTAATATGTAAGACAGAATATGCGACGTGCTTAAATGTTATAAAGTGGAGAGTTTAGTATTTTTAAAAAAATAAATATTTTACACACATTTTTTCTAGAAATGCATACATCGTACATATTTAGGTCAATCGCTATATTTGACAATTAATAGCATTAAAAAGAAATGAACTGTCATTTGTTAGAAATGCCAATGATGTAAATAATATTTTAACGTATATAGACTATTACTAAAACTCATTACGCAAAAAATTGATGGAAAACAAAATATGCTATATTATATAATATATTTTTTATAATATTTTATATAATATACGATACTCGTTTTGTTTAATTTTGTTATTCTGGAAAAATACTTTAGTATCAAATATTATTTATACCGCTCGAGATTTACTAATCAAAACTGGAAATTGGACTAAACCGAATTTAGTACAAAAAATATATACTTGATTTAGCGACCTAAAAGTTTATAATTGTGTTTATGCGATGACATACCTTACAAATGTCAGGCTATTTATAATATAAATAATCTGACATATGTTTGATTTAACATTTTAATAATTTTCTAGAATATATCAGTATCAGCTGTAATTTTAATAGATATTAAGTTGAGAGTACAATATGGGTATACACGAGTTCGAGTAACGAGATCGGCAACAGAGTAATATTGTAACCAGTTACTCTAACTTGTGAGCACACCTGATTGTATCGATTTGTTAAGGACAGGTGTTTAAAACAGCGGTATTTTATTGAATTTCTAAATTATTGTGAAAATATAATAATCTGATATAAATATCACGATTATTTCGAAATTAAGTTAAAAAGGTAAAATTGTTGACATTTTGATAAAAAATATTCTAAACCCTATAAAATAACTTAATATAAAATAAAATTTATTTTAATATACAATTTTTTAATATTTAAAATTTGACATAATTGAAGAGGTATTATTATAGTATATAAGTTTTTAACACTATTTTATAATGACAATTTTTTAAAAAAATTTAAATAAATTAAAAAATATCTTGTGATTATAATTTAATGAATTATTAAATAGATTAAAAGTTTCATAAAAAACGCAAATTATAAAAAATAAGTGCAAATATTTAATATCAATCAAAAACAAATTTTAAATTTCCGAAGTAAATTTTTTTCTTGTGTATAAAATATGATATAGACGATGAAATTTGTTTGCAAACCAAATTTGCAAACCGAATATGTGCTTTGCTATACACTTTGAAACAAGGTTGGCAAACTTCATTTTGATTTATTTTCTACAGCGTTCATATCAACAGCGGAGCAAGTACAGAGTGCAAAACAATAATCGAAACTGAAGAAATTGAGGAAATGGTAATAGCAGAGTATATTATTAAGATTATTATATAAATATTTCATATTTCTTGGAATTAAACACGATTTATTAAAGATTGTTTTTGTTAATTCAGTTAACTATACTACAGTGTAATATATTTTTAGCGAGCAATAATGAAAAGTGAAGCAATTGCGCTTATGGTAATAGCAACATGTCTTGAAGAGCGAAAAAACAAAAGAAAAAGAAGAATTTGGGCAAAGACATGGCTTCAAAAGCGAGAAAAATTTTCTCATGTAAAGCTTCTGAAGGAATTAGAAACTTCTTGTATTGGAGATTTAAAAAATTTTTTAAGAATGGATAATAACAATTACACTGAACTGCTTTCTATGGTGCAACCTTTAATAATAAAACAAGACACATTCATGAGAGATGCTATTTCTCCCCATGAGAGACTATCCGCAACCTTGAGATTTTTGGCTTCGGGGGGAACTTTTCAGGACTTGAAGTTCTTGACTGGGATATCTCCACATAGTTTAAGTAATATAGTTATTGAAACCTGCAACGCCATAAGAACAACATTGAAAGAATACATTCAGGTAAATTAATTATAAACAGGAATATTTATTGTCTTAATTAATCAAATTTTAATGAATTATAAAAGTAAACATATTCGAAAATATATATAAAAATAAAAAATATATAATAATATAAAATATAAATATAATATAAAATAATATAAAAGATAAATAATATAAAAACTATATAACAATATTTGTTGCCTTAAGCAAAATCATTGCTAGAAAACAGTTCATCAAAGGAGTTGTAATCATTTTCCACCGAATTCTGGCGTATATGAATCGGCAGCAACGTGCTCACAGTTTCTTGGTATACATTTTGTTGCTGTTGACCGCTCGGTGCTGAGGGACTTATTGATGGACTACTTGAATTAATATTGACCCCTATTGGACTCATTGCCGGGCTCGAAGTGTTGCTTGAGTATGGCGAACGCAAAATTTGAACTTGTCTCTCCACACGCGGAACTCTATATGGTGTTGCAGAGTAGCTATATTGCAATGGTGATGTTGTTGTCTTTGGAGGAATTCCAATATGTGTTACAGACTCGTAAGTCAATTTGTTCATTTGTCCTTCCGAAAGCAGCCTCTCTATTCCCAGCCTGGCAAGTACTTGTTGTTCAGATGATAATTTGCGGTATGTTGCTGCCCAAGATTGTCCATGTATGTCAGCATCGTCTTTTATAGTATTTTGACGTTGTACTTCGAGATGCTCTACAGCTTTTGCTAAAAAATCTGTGTGATTTATTTTCTTTTTACGGGGCGGTTCATAAATAGTCTGAAATGTATATAACTGTTTAATATAAAAATAAAGAAAACCATTAATATGTTTATATACTGCATTAAAAGATATTTATCTATTTATATACATATTTTATTATTATTAAATTTCAGATTCCTAAAAATGAGCAGCAGTGGAAATCTATTGCCAAAGGGTTTGAAACACAGTGGAACTTCCCGAATTGCATAGGTGCTATTGACGGAAAACACGTAGCAATAAAAAAACCACCAGGAACAGGATCTTATTACTATAATTATAAGAAGTCTTTTAGCATCGTTTTAATGGCTGTTGTAAACTCAAATTATGAATTTATTGCTGTCGATGTGGGGGCAAATGGAAGGGCTTCGGATGCTGGAATGTTCTCAAAAACGAAATTTAAACAAAAACTCGATGAAGACGAACTAGCCATTCCCAATCCAGACGCTATTCCGTTTAATGAAAATATGTTTCCTTTCGTTTTTATTGGAGATGATGCATTCCCCTTATTGGAGAATTTAATGAAACCTTACAGCCACACAAATATAAGCGATGAAGAGCATGTATTTAATTACAGATTGTCCAGAGCAAGACGAGTAGTGGAGAACGCCTTTGGGATCTTAGCAAGTCGGTTTCGCGTACTCGCTAACAAAATTAATTTAGACCCACATAAAACTGCAGTCATTGCTATGACCTGCTGCTACCTGCACAACTTTTTAATGAGCAAAAATCGAAGACATTACCTTAGGGACAGTGTTGATATAGAAAATACTCAAACAGCAGAATTGCAACCAGCACATTGGCGAAGCTGTTCTCAATTACCAAAGTTACAAGCATTAAGAGGAGGAAACTCATCAAACACGGCAAAAGATGTTCGTAGTATGTATAAAAACTATTTCAATGGAGAAGGAGCAGTACCGTGGCAATACGAGCATGTTACAAGCTTGACACGTTCTATATATAAACGTGGGAATTCCGAAATTTAATATCCAACTTCAATGTATACTTAAACTTTGTTATATACATATCGTTAGTAATAAAAATATCATACTTATAACAATAAAGTAACAAAAAATAAAAATTTATAATGAAATATGATTTTGTTATATCATTTACCTTATCTTCCAGGTCCTCCAACTCCAAAGTGCTTAGATCTGTGACTTGGCACTCATGCTCCTGTAAAAATTCTAGATCATTATAATACCATAATGATGGTACATACAAAACTTCTGCACCAGCACCAGACTTTTCACTTTTTTTTATTTTATTTAGTTCTCGCCTATAACAGATCCGTATACCATTAATTTTTTTTTTACCTGTTCTAAAGTGGCATCTGGAAAAGCTTCTTTATATTTTAGCAATAACTTATTCCAAGCCTTCGCTTTCAAATATTTATTTTTATATGTTTCACTTTTGACTTCCCACAAACACCGTTCGCTTTTATACTCTTCAATTAATTCTTTATATATATTATTATGCGGAAAAGCCATATCAATATTTTATTCACGCACAAAATAATTGTTTTAGCCAATTTCACTTTTTTTATTATATAATAATTTATTCTCGCGATAGAATAATTTTTAAAATATATAAATTTCTTTAATAATTGCTTTTTTCAAATTTGTTTCTTTTAACTAAAATAAATGTCCGCAATCTTTGCTCGTCCGTCTCTCACCAAAATTCTTAAATTATGAGAAGTTTGCAAATTTCGATATACACAAGCAAACGAGTTTGCAAACTTAACAAATAATTGAAAAATTTTAATTTCACTGCAAACTTGAGTATAGACGATGCAATTTGATAGCCAGCAAACCTTGTTTGCAAACAAATTTCATCGTCTATATCATGCTTAAGAAAGATGGCAATATTAAAAATAGAATAAAAGTGCAACGTAACTGTTGGTTAAACTAATTGATTGATTAACGTAGTAACGTTGCAACGCGTTACTCGACATGTAATTTGTTGTTGCTGTGTTGCACTTTTAAAACGTTACTCGGTTATACCGAGCGCATAACTCGAACTCGTGAATAACCCAATTGTTTTACTTGTTCACTTTTGACTCCATGGATTTCTTGTAAGTTAACCAAATTATTGCTTGCAGAATAGCAAACATATACTCTATTTATTATAGGTTTTCTGCTTGAGAGTATTACAAAAAGGAATCGAAAAAAATTTAACAACCCTGTTTGCTGCAAGTAGTGTTTCAAAATTTCTTGTAATTTCTTTAAGTGTAATTTTCTGACAACATCAGTTTTGTTAAATTTATGGCAGATATCGGCAAATTACTGTATTTACATAAATTACATTATTTTTATATTTAAACCAATTTTATTATAATAAAATGGCTCCACCAGCAGCCAGACTACGTTATAATGCCAATAAATCTGATAGCAATGCGATATTAACCAAAAAACCACCAAAAAAATTGAATGGGAAAAATGAAGGAAAAAAGAGGTAAAAAAGTTTTATATAAATAAAAACAAATAATAACCGATAATATTGGTAATTATTTACATTATGTAATTCTAATTATATTTATTAGCAATGGCGGGAAAGCAAATACGTCACCTGTGTCTGCTGAAAAGACTAACGCCATAATGCCGGGTGTGGACACTGCTTTCAAAACATTTGTCAGCGCACGTCTTTGCAGTGCCATTTGGGCTTATATATCAGATTGTGATGAAACATTTAATTATTGGGAACCGTTGCACTATATAATTAACGGTCGTGGTTTGCAAACATGGGAGTATAGTCCACAATTTGCGTTACGCTCCTACACGTATCTATTACTTCAAGGAGTGCCCGGTTGGATTTATCAGAAAATCTTTAATCCCAGCCCCATACTAATATTTTATATGGTACGTTGTATGCTCGGTTTTGGTTGTGCTGTTATGGAACGTTTTATGTATAAGTAAGGATTTAATAATCGATTTCCTCTACATTTATTAATATTATTTCACATTAATTTTTCCTTTCTTATAGATCAATTTGTCAAGAGTTCGGCATACACATTGGTCGTTTATGGCTAATATTTCAATTATTTAGTGTGGGCATGTTTGTTTCGAGCACTGCTTTGCTACCATCGTCTTTTTCAATGTATTTTGGTTGTGCTGCACTGGCTGCTTGGTGGCAAGAGAAATATAGTTTGGCAATATTTTTAGTTGCACTATCGGCTTTATTAGGCTGGCCCTTTGCTGCTTTGATCGGCGTGCCACTTGTTTTAGATATGTTGATACGAAAGCATCAGTGGAAAACGTTTTTAACTTGGTCAGCTATATCAGCAGCCACTATCGCTATTCCAATGATTGTAATCGATTCCAGTTATTTTGGTAAAATAACATTTGCTCCACTAAATATTATTATCTATAATGTTTTCACGTCTCATGGTCCAAATATATTTGGCGTCGAACCCCTAAGTTATTATGTTTTCAATGGATTCTTAAATTTCAATATAATTTGGGTAAGTTAAAATATAAAATTTTTGCTTAAAGTTGTAAATTTTTTTTTCACTTCACAGATTTTGGCGCTCATTACTCCGTTGTTGTTAATAATAGATTACTTCATAGTACCTGCAAAATCGAAATCAACTCTAAACTATCCACACTATTTATCTTTGGCGCCATTGTATTTGTGGTTGTTAGTGTTTTTTGCTCAGCCACATAAAGAGGAACGTTTTATGTTTCCAATTTATCCGATGATTTCATTATGTGGTGCCGTGTCGGTTGACGTATTTCAACGCATATTCTTTCGCATTAAGTCGTTACTGGTTAAAATCAAACCTGGTGCTAATGGCGCACATTACTTGGATCACAGCATGTTCATTGCTGTTATGATTATGATGGTCAGCACATTAATGGGACTTTCGCGTGTATTTTCACTTTATCGAAATTATCATGCTCCTATGGATGTTATGATGGAATTAAATGAATTCAAAGTATCCAATGAATATCGTGCTAATCAAATTTATAATGTATGCATAGGCAAAGATTGGTATCGTTACCCCGGAAGCTTCTTTTTGCCGGCTGAAAACTTTCGTTTAAGGTTTTTAAAGTCAGAGTTCCGAGGCCAATTGCCTGCCTATTATGTAGATGGTGAAAATTCAACACAAATTGCACATCCATATTTTAATGACATGAATCAGGAAGACGAGCGCATGTACTTCGATTATCAACGTTGTCATTTCCTTATTGATTTCGATAAAGGTACATACACTCAACTTGAGCCAAACTATTCGAAACGTACCAAAGATTGGATTGTACTGAAAAGTTTGCCGTTTTTAATACAAGAAAAATCTCATAAACTATTTAGAGCATTCTATGTACCATTCTACACTGATAATCACACAACTTATGGCAACTTTAATTTATTAAAACGAAAAAAATCCTCACAAAGCTAGGCGAAAATTAATCATTTTACATAAATGACATAATTTTATAATGAGGTATGCATTTTTCAAGTTTTGTTTTTAATTTTAGTTTTAAAATTTAATTTAATTTTGAATATTTGTTAAATATTTAAAGAAATGCTCTGGTAGCATTTTAAAGACTGCTGGGATGGCATATTTATGTTTTAATTTTTAAATGAATGTTTGTTTGTTCTCATTATTGTATATTAAATTTATTCAGTTTGTTTGTATAGCTTGTAAGGCAACACGAGCTATAGTTTTTATTTTGCCAGTACCTATTGAAAATGAAACAACGACTTAAGAATCATAAATCACTAATAATTAAAGATTGTTTTATTTTATTTTAATTTAAATTTTGAAAACTATTCAGAAATATGTTCGAAATGTTAATGTAACATTTAATTGACTTAAAACAATAGAAACCAATGTAACAATTTAAAAGTATTTGTTTATATGTTTAAAACTGTTTTAAATCATAAATATTTGTAAGAAATTTTAACGCAATTAGAATTGGTCAAATAATTAAAGGTTTTTGACTTCCACAAATAATTACAAGATATATTCATAATTTATACAATGAAATATTAAAATATGTTATGTGCAATATGTAAACATTTCCTTGACTCATTTTATGAGAATTACCTCAAAGCATTCAAAAAATATGTAATATTCGAAATTGCAATATTTTATTCCATTTTTAATAATATATTATTAATTTGTATGTATGACTTTTGTAGATATATTAATGATAGACATGCAATATATAAAATAATACTTACATTTTCAAAGCCAAAGATTCGACTGTACTTTTAATTTTATATAACAAAATAGTAAAGTTTAAAAGGTATAAATAATCAACATTATTTTGTATTTTAAAAAAATAAATTTTAAAACAAATTAAAAACTTAAATTAAATTAAAGAAATGGTATTACTGTCTATTATGTTTGTCGACTATATGAGGGTAGTAGATATTGTAAGCACTCTTTAGTGCATTCAATTTTATATGTCACATCTCTTGTGTTTTGTTCTACATATTTATATATTTTTATCCAATGTAGAAATCGATTCCTAACACTCAAAATCAGTTTGCAAAAATATAAAATTTTTTATTAAAATAAAATAAAAAATCATATAAAACGAACTGTTGTCGGTGATAGGTTACTTTTCTAGTGCCTAGTGTGAAGTGATAGGTAATTTGTCACATCTCCGAGAAGAGAATTTTAATTTCTAATCGTCTAAACGTTTTAACAGTCCGATTACACATTCGTTACTGATATTTAAATAAAATTTAAAAGCTATTTACTAACAACATTCATTAGTATGTGTTAATTTAAAAAATAACGCTTAGGATCATAAGTAATATTTAAAGCAACGTAACACTATGTCACAAATTCATATACCTTTTAGAAACATATGGACACCACTTTTACTCCCACCCTTACTTTTTTACGTTTTATAAGAATTGAGGCAATCATCTCCCCACTTTTTTATGCTACGTAATTCTTGAGAAACCCATAGGTATTAAGATCTCCTATAATATATAGAAATGAAACACAACAACAAAAATTTTAGATAATTTATTGAAATTTAGCTGATCATATAACGCTGTTTCGAGCATTGCAAAGTACTCATCATCAGTAGTCTTAGGAATATATCGCAATATATCTATATGTTTTGTTGTGATTGTGTAATTCGTTCTTTTCCACTATCCTTATAAGAGTTTATACTAAAATCGAAATAGTGAGCACTTTTTGTTGTTGTTGTAACCCACTATCTTTTCCCCTATCCTTATAAGAGTTGATACTAAAATGGAAGTAGTGAGCACTTTTTGTTGTTGTTGTAACCCACTATCTTTTCCACTATCCTTATAAGAGTTGATACTAAAATGGAAGTAGTGAGCAGCACTTTTTGTTGTTGCTGTAACCCGTTGAGATCTGCTTGTAAAATCTCTGAGGGGTGGTAAACGGCACTGTGTAATCGTGATTGACGATGTAGACCCAGCAGCACTTGGTACTAGCAGCACTTATTCGTCGCCGACGCTTTATTCTAGAACACATTTCGCCGCTTTTAGGACTCTAAAAAATTAATATTGTTTTTACTTAATGAGGCGAAATTCATTTCATGATTTACTCAATTACTGCACTTCTTATGGAGTCATTTTTTACGTTATGTTAAAACGTTGTTTCTTACAGCTACCTTAGAGATTCTATTCCGATGCCGGAAACTATAGCTTCAAATATCATTCGATCTGTTTGAAGCTGTAAACTTTTTGTTGTTGGCATATATACTTGATCGTGGGTTTCACTCGACAACTATGAACAAGATTAAATGCTCAATTAGCTTAAGCATATTCAAGTTTTTAAAGTATTGATCTGCTCGAGCATTGAAATTCTGAAATACTTTGAAGCACTAATAAATATACTTTTATATATATATTTTCTTTATGAATAGTTTAGGTAAAGTATATAGTTTTAAACCGTTGTTGATTTATATCTGGTTTGGTTAAGTGTTTGATTTGTCTACTTTACGAATACTAAAACTCTGACAAGAGAAGTAACTGTGACTACATCCCAGTGGATAAGTTAAAAAGGAACATAAACTTGGCAATCTTGCAATCACTTTTAAGATACGTGTCGTTATCTATGAGTTTTACGTTGTATATATTTTGGTGATTTTGATTGTGCTAAGATTTTTAAATGTAACAATATTGTATATTGTTTTCTTAATCATTTCTTAATCATCATTCAAATCCTATGTCTGAAGAGATACACGGAAACACCATCATTTTAAAAATAGAAAATGATATATAGTCTGATTCAAACCATAAAATCTTCTTCGTATTAGCAGACGATGAACAAAACTAAAACCTATCCATGTCTTCTATATTGTCAGACAGGTTAATATGTAAGGTGCTTAGTAAGTAGTAGATAAATGGATATCAGTCACATCATTGTAATTACTAAGTTTTTCGGATATATAAAAGATGAGAATGGATAAGTATAGATGTACAATCCGTAACACATATTATATATATAACAGATTTAAGTCCGTAGAATAATCAATAAAATAACAACGTTTACGTTTTTCATCAACGTAATCTTTTTCAAACATAATATAATCATTTTGTGCCTCTCTAACATTACGATACCTTTCTTCTAGAATGATTTATCTTTGGCTTTAAAATATGTCTCAGTTTCGGCCATGGCTATTTCGTCGGAGCCAAATCTCTTTCCCTGAAGCATTTTTTGAGGTCAACGAAGGGGTAGTAATCCTTGAGGGCCGAATACGGTAGATGTGGAAGCAATTTCTGGTGTGATTTATGCAATTTGAGCATGGTACCCAACGACTACTAACACGAAACATTGTCTTGGGGAAAGAGAACTTTTTTCTTCTTCATATGGGGCCGCTGTTTCGTGATTTCCTACTTCAAGCGCACCAGTTGTGTCATGTAGGAATAGCTATTGGTTTAGAATTTCACACGAATCCCAAAATACGGATTCAATTACCATGCCAGCTCTCTATTACTTCTGTTGGAATAGGACTTTACTTGATTTTAGTAAGTTCCTCACAAACGCATTTTAATCAATTAAAAAAAAACTTCAAAATCTGTAAATGTTTAACATATTTAAAATATTCCATACTGTCTTATTATCTTGATGCGATCTGTTCATGATTTTTATATAGCATACAAGATTGAAATCTTGTTTTTATCTCATTATAAATTGGTTCTGGAACTATTTTCCATGCCTTAAAAATCAATTATCCTATAAGCTGTAAATATTATTTTTGCTAGATTGATTTCGTTTCATCTCTTGCTAAATTATACTAGCCAAAAACGAATATATATTTAAATTCTGATTGATGTTTATATCATAAGTTAAGTCATCTTAACTTCAAAATCATCTAGCTTTCAATGAATCCAAAAACATCTAATTAACATATTAGTGTTTCAATGTTTATTGATTCAACTATACTACTTACACATAATAAACAATTATCAATTGTAATTAATTACACAATATAAAATCTGGAAGCTGATTTTTACAATGGAATGTATAATAAATAATAATATATAATATGTCTAACTTCATAAAGGACTTAAACTATTAGAGCATTATTAAATTTACTCACACACTAGACGTACGAAAGGAGTTTGTTATGCTATAAACTATCTTTGTAATTACTATTAAAAAATAATAAGAAAAACATTATTTACACATAAAACTATAAATAAATAAACACTTTCTGAATCGTGGTATCTTAGGGAAATTATAAATTTTCTTAAAATTAGAAGTACACTGTTAAGTTATTTTCTGAAGAGCCCATTGTGTCTGCAGCGGTCAGCAGATTTGAAGTCGCACCATTCGAATTCGAAATTGTTGTCACACCCACCTGTTGCGCACCATTTGCAGTGACCTCCCAAGCTGTTTTTTTGTTATTATTATCGACCGCTGTGTTGTCTTGATTCGATATGGAATCGTGTTCTATTTCATCCTCTTCGTAGAGTTGTCCATTAGCGGAAGCACGAGAAACTATACCTGGAAGAAAAACTATAACAGTTGAGTTATACAGTAAGATTAGATATGTCAACAATCATATTACACTTACTACGAACGGTTGCGGCATAGTTTTCGCGTTGTCTCTCTCTTTCTCGTTCTCGCTGTGCTTCTCGATCTAAGCTATTTGCCAAAATTGTTGTGCTACTCATGGCCATGTTTCCATTACCACCTGCAACTCCTGTGCTACTATTACCGCTGTGATGTTGATGCCCGTTACTGATGGGATTTGACATTGTTACATTGCCGCCATGGTGTTTCATATGTAGCACAGAAACACCACCACTTGTAACAGCAACTCCATTACCATTGCCACTCATTTTTTCATGTGTTACTAAATTCGCGGTAGAAACACCACTGTGTGCATGACTATGCACGCGATTGCGTCCTAAAGCCGGTGTTGTTTTACGCTTCTTCTTCTTCGTACGCAGAAGATAGCATGTTATCATTAAAACAATTATCATAAATAGTACGATTATCATGCCAAACATGCCAAGTAAGCTGTTAGTCCAAGTAGACTGTGCTAGCGCAACTCCTTCCATCGTCACTGCAACTGGCACAGAAGTGCTACGTGGCGGTACACCAGTATCGGTTGCAATTGCTATGAGGTGTACTGTTGACTCGTTGAGATTTTGTATTTGCTCTGGACGCAAATAAATATTACCAGCGGAATCAATTTCAAAGAGCCCAGCATGTTGCCCACGTAGCGATAACTCAAGCTTGTCATTTCGATCGCCATCAGCTGCTTCAACTTTTCCGATCATAATGCCTTCAAAAGATTCAGCACGCGAATGTAGCGACTGTTGAAATAAAATAATAGGTAAAATGTTTGACATAGAATTTGATAATATACTTACACCTTTGGGCACTATAAATTCGTAATGTGTTTCTCGAAATCTTGGTTCCCAGTCATTGACATCTGTGATCTCTAAGCTAATATCGGCAGTTGTGTTCGTCATGCCATCAGTTGCATGAACTTGAAAGTCATGACGAGTTATTTTCTCATAATCTAATGGTTTGATGAGTATAACTTCACCCAATGTACCGACACTGAAAAATTGTGAATTGATTGGGTCTGTTATGGTGTACTTAAGATGCTTTCCAGGCTTGTTTGTAGGTAAAGCTAGAATACGATTACCCACTGCTGTGTCTTCACGTATACGCATAAAGAATTTTTTCTGTACAAAAGCCAAGGTGGTTAAATCACTGTGCGTTCCCGGGCGAGAAAGTGTGACAGTTGTCAGAGCATAACGATCTGGATTATCGATCTGTGTAGCTTTTATAACTAATGTAGCACCGTTAGCCAGATCTGTGCCAATGGGTGTTAGTAGTGTTATGACACCACTATGTGGATGTATGCGAAAATATTTGGTATCCTGTGACTGTACTATCGAGTACTGTATGGGTGCACAAATACCCTCATCTTGATCAACGGCTTTAAGCGGTTCTGGTCGTATGCGAATTTCGCCTGGTCTTCCATCACCTGGTAGTTCACCAGTATAGCTTTCACGTTGAAATTTTGGATTTTGATCATCGGCATCGGTAATAACAACTCTTAGTAAGGTGTCAGAGAATTTTGGTGGGGTGCCCTGATCTTGCGCTCTTAGTTTAACAGTAAAATTTTGCATACTTTCATAGTCTAAAGGTTTTTTAAGTACCAACGTGCCATCCAATGGATTCAGAAATTGCACATATTCAGAAAATGGACCCGGTAGCACTTGATATTCAACTGTAGAAAATGGACCCTGCTGATCAGCGTCCTCAGCACGAGCACCTTGTAGTATTCTAGTACCAGGTACAGTCACCTCTGATAGCGTTAGCGTGTAAGGAGTATTTATCCATTGTGGTGCGTTGTCGTTGACGTCAATAACGCGCACGTTTACTGGTATGACAAAACTCTGCAAAATATATGCAAAAGAAATTTGTTATTTGGTTTAAGCTTTTCATAAATATTTATAGATTAAATGTTAGATAATATATATATGTATATAAGCATATTGTATAACATATTGTCTCTTTGTTTACCATTAGTGAAACCCTTTTATTTATATTGTTCGCACTGTGTGCTTTTTTATAGTAAAACTATTAAGCCACTGGTCAGTGACCTCCTCCAAAGTTCAAAGTTCTCAAGTAGCATGCGATTTCAAGCCGATTGAAGTAAAATTCTAGATTGTTAGGCGTAGTAGGCCTAATCGTTGTTCAGTTGCAATCCTTTTTCTCTAAGAATAGTAAAAAATCAATGCGTTGGTTTTCTAAGTGTGCAAAATTTCTTTCTGGTCTTATATGTATATGTGGAATGGGGATTGTTATTACTGAGCAGTAGTCGAAGGGTGTAACCTATTTAAGTTACTTTGCACACGTCAGCACATATTTTCGCGCGCTTTTTTAGCGCTACAAAACGGAAACTAGAGGGTCTAATTTATGACCACTTTTGTTGGTGTTTTGATGTTTCGCTCGTGGTATCAACACAAATGTTTATGAGATTTTTTTACATGTGCTCATTTACTTAGCAAATATAGCCCTAACGCCTTTAACAATACTTATATATAAAAATATATTTCAAGTCAAAACTTCAGTACAGTTAATGCAGTATAAGAAGTTTCAATTAAAACTTTACTCAAAAGTTAAGAATTTTGTGAAATTTCCTACAATTTAGTAGAATTGGTTTAATTGAAAGTGATGAGTGCAGATTTTAATCTTCATTTGTTTAAATCTATTTTATTTAAATAGAGTAGATATTAAGTGCATACATAATAATGCAGGGTATAATGTGTTGAAATGATATGGTATATCTTCATAATAAAAGTTTGAAAGATCGATGTCTGACGAAATTCCAATCCTGATAAGTAGTGATCGAAAACTTAGAAATATTGACTTTTCTGATACCAAATTGTCTTTTGAAAATTACATTTAAAGATTCTATCGAATTAGTTGAAATTCTAAAAAACTAAGGTAACATCTATGAAACTGAATGGAAAACACTTATACCGTAATCAAGGGATTAGAATTATTTAGTCACCCTTATAAAAAATATATTCCTTGAATTGCTAGTCGGCCATCAAATCAAAGAACTTGATGGTAAGATCAAAAATTAGCTTAGGATTGCCTGACAGCTTTAAACGTCATGAGTACAGTTTTCATGGTACCTCTAATTTGGATTTCCAGGTAATAACAAATTGGAGGACGCTGTAGATCGATGCACTTACCAGTTCGGATACTTATCTCCCCCTAAGCATAGACTAAGGCGGTATCGGTATTGCAACTACTAAATGAATACATTAAAAAGACCAATTTATTCTGGTCAAGCAAAAACCCGAAACTTGATACAAAAAAATAAATGGATTTACTTCATTTATCAATAAAAGACTTATCTAAGGTCGTGGCTTGTATATCTGGTTATTGGTTATCTAGTAGACACGTTCTTAGAGTGTCTTAGACTTTCACTCAGTATTGTAGAAGTTATAATGACAAGAAAGAGAAAGAAATAATGGAACACCTCTTGTGCATTTGCACTGCTCTAGCCAAAAGCAGAACAAACTCAGGCAGTTTTGTCTTTCACAGAAGTGCCTAATGCTAAGATTACAAATAAATTGCTTCCATAACTAATCAACAGTAGAGGTTCTGTGCTACATAATGATATCACTATGATCCGAAGGGCTTAACTGAGTTGGACAATTGGACTGACTTTCACAGTAACCTAACTTCCCTACATATAGAGTGCTTTAAATTATTATTGAAATACAAATGAGCTATAATAAACTGTCGGAACTCGTTCCCACGATTACTAGCATTCGGTAAAAAACTATTCTATCCATTACTTTTAGTATTTGTGTTGAAAGCAGTTGTTGAAAGAAAGGTAAACATTATCTTTAAGCCTTTAACAGTATATAAACGATTAAGATATTTATATATTTATACAAAATAATAATATATGTACGTTAATTAATAAATTCAATTTCTGACAACTATTTAAAATAGACTGCATGTCTTCACTGAAGTTATCACCGACTTATCAAACAGGTCACTATTGTAAACTCATCATGACATTCTTTGTATTACTGTTATCACACATTGTTATTACTTTTGATACTAAGGAATTTTCGGATGTCCTTGCGTTACAGTATATTCTTCATTTTTATTGATACTCTATTAGATACTCTATTCTTACAGTTGTTATGTATCTATGATTTTAGCCCGATCTTTATCGTTTTATATATATAGTAGACTATTAACTTGATCTGGATTTTTTCTTTGGGATTACTTTGAAGTAGTATTTGATATATTTAAAATACTATCTTAACACATTACATTAACTTCTTTCAAACCTAACACTACCTTATAAAATTGAAAACCTGTAATTTGTATCTAACTGTTATTATTCGTTAATAAATTTGTTATTAATATTGCTAAATAAATTCCATAGATTTAGAAATAAGGCCTAAGCTTGAATGTATAATATTGAATGTATTTTAGATCACAGAGCTAGAAAATATATATTGGTTACTAATGTTATAAAAACTTACCGGATCAGTTGAGTGTCGCCTTAAGCAAATTATATTTACATATATAGATGAAGGTCCACGAAGACCTTCTTTGTCTAGTTCCACAGCTAAAGCTAAATCTTTCGTGCCGGGTACTATTTCCACCGGCGCATCTTTCTCACGTAATGATAAATTAATATCTCCGTTTTCAACATCGGGATCACCATTTATGCGCAGTTTACCAATAATTGCACCAACATCCAAATCTTCGCTAGCAAGAAAGCTTTCGGCAGAGCCACCTCCCTCCAGATAACAACGAGAGTCAAGTATTGCACTTTCGACGGCTGTAAGCGAAAATAAAGTGAAAATTTCGTTAATTCTGGTTAAAGTTAACGGTGTGCATTGTTTCGGTTATAGTTAACGTGTTCACAATTAAGCATTAACGATTAAAAAAAGACAAAGTATGAAATACAAGAGCTTGAAAAATAATTAATTTTATTTAATTTTCTAAAATGTGCAGCGATTGCAGTTATCACTTTTGCTGCCCGTTGAAGTTAAGACACCATAAACGCATTTTGCTGTTTAGACCGGTGCTTTTTTTCTTGGAGCATTTCTTTTAACATAATGTACACTATGTATATTATAACAGTGCACGATTGTTTGGTCTGGATACGCTTCGTTTAGTTCGTTTTTCATTTAAGTTGCTTAAGTGAGTCTAATACAATAATTTTTAAGCCGAATTTTAAAAACATTTTTTTCATATTTGGATTTTTTTAGGGTATCAGGTGTAGAATAATATAAGTTATCATTTTCTATGTAATCCTGACATTAGAGACAAATGTTTTAAAATCCTTTTCAATATAGTTAAAGTCTATTCCTAATCTATGTTGAAGAGGCAGATATATTAGTAAACTGCTAACTATAGTAATTAAGCGTGAATTATTAACGAAAGTATGATATGATTAACACAATACATGAAAACCTTAAAAACCTATATGTCGAGATATAAGAGAATCGAAAACCTATGATCAACCATGAAACAAAAGGTGTTACATTAGAGCAAAAGTCGATCTTAAATGCTACTGTAATGCTAAAGCCAGTTTAAAAAATTCTTGATCAGACATACTCTAGACTATTTTTTTTTGTTATCAATAACTATACAATGTTCGAAAAGTTTTAAAACATTAACTTACAATATTGGTAAGATGCATGTATTTTTTTTATAACCTCTACTATTCGATAAATTTGTACTTGTCTATTATCTAGTATCATGTAAGGATTTTTTGAATAAATTATTGTATTTTAATAATTTTTAAATGAACTTATCGTGTTTTAAAATGTTCGAACATCGAACTGCTGCCATATCAATTCGTTTCGAACATTTAGTTCGAACTTTTCAAATGTTGAAATCTGTTCAAATTACTTGAAGATATTAGAACTTCTCAAAATATTTGATCTGCTTTATGTTTTATTTCAGTTTGTTTTTTTTTTCTTTTATGCAAATATGCAAACAACAATTACTCGACGATCGTGCTATGTTCGAATATATTCGAACGGCTCGCTATGCTCGAGCCAAATTTTCGAACATACATTAAAATGCTGTGAATCAACTTCGCGACTTGCATAAGCAATTCATACAGACATTTAGGGTCAATTTCATTCATAGTAGTAACTTATGTTTCAAAATTGACTTAGTATAAATTAAGTCATCAAAGTTAATACTTTAAGCATGACTTGAGTCAGTATTGACATTTTAGTTATGAGTGTAAGATCAGTTCTAAATATATCCTTATAACAAACTTCAAAGTTGATATTTTAATTTTTTAATAAGATAAAAACATAATTTAGCATCTCTCCGTTGAAGCGATTTTGTTTGTTTCCTGGACCAAGAAATCTCCTCCTGAATTTATGTGTTGTTGTTCGAAAAGATGTCTACCAGTGTATATATAGAGATAAATGGATGGAATAGCTTATTGAACACAAAGGTAAATCAATGATAAAAGCGCTTTTCCTAAACGTAGAGCGGAAAAGCTTAAACCCCCCTCTCTGTTCGATATTTTGTTATGTTGGTCTTTATTGTATTTACAGCAACAGTCAGCTTATAAAACTTCCACAACATGTCAATTTTTTTGCAGTGTAAAATAATTCTACATCGTTTAAATTAGTTAAGCCCAATTTATGCAGAACCCTGAACGGATTTTAGCTGCATGTTTATGGTATACTCCTACTATTTTACTATAATTTTGCAATATCTAAAATTAATTTTCTTTTTTTATTACAATTTTTTGTTGTTTTTGTATAAAGCCGTACACTGTGGTCTGGATGTGTGCCAAATCCGGAAAATGCATTTTCTATTATAATAATTTCTTTTTTTCTTTTATATAAATTTATGTTTGTAAGCAGTTGGTTTATTGTTGTTGCAATATTTACATAATGCGGAACAATAACGTTAATATAAAAAACTCTTAATGTTATAGTCTAATTGTAAAATTCCAATGTAAATTTAAAATAATTCAGATATTGTTTAGTTTAAATATAGAAATTTAAATATTAAATATTGCTTTTAAAGAGAATGCAATTGACATACAAAACGATTTATTATATTGCTTGAATGCTAATGACTACCCAATAAATTACTTTTAATCTTTTGAGATAAAGAATAAATTTCCAATCATTTTTTAGATTTTAATTATCCAAAATGAGAAATTATAATCATGATTTTATATTATCATGATTTTTTAATGGTTCTCAATATCTACACTGGATACACTTCGACTATTAGATTATGAATTATATTTCAATATCTACAATATTCTTTTGTTGTCATACATAAAATTAGCCACAAAAGGGCACTTTAAAAATTGTCTGAAGTAGTTTCTTAAAAATAAAATCCCGGAATTTCACGACAAAGTAATAACGAATCTGAAGATAGTGGTCGTAAAAATAGTTAACTATATCTAATATATTACTATATTAATAATTCCAGTATCTGAGGATTATTGTGTCTGAAAATATAGGTACAGCGCAAGATGTGATACGCGCTGGGCACTATTACAAGGCTTCGTAAAGTGTGGAGCTCCAATACCTATAGTTTACGCACAAAGATAAAAATCTTTAAAGCTGCGCTCTTTCAGTTCTCCTGTATGGTTGCGAAATCTGGTTTGTTACGGAAAACATACACAGCAAGCTAAGAGTATTTGTCATCCGCTGTCTCCGCAGAGTTTTGTGTATTGTCTGGCCAAACAGATTTCAAATCAAGACTTTTGGACCAGAAGAGATGTCAACCTTGAAATTCGCAAAAGAAAATTAGGATGGATCGGGTATACACTTTGAAAGGCTCCTACCGAAATTTGTCAGCAGGCGTTGGTACTCGCAAGGTCATGAAAAAAGATAGTCTAATAACAACATGGAGAAGGTCAACATTACATGTAATATATATCGTTGTGCAACCCCTAGGAAGAAGAATAAGCAACATTATTGTTATAAAGGACGTAGCGTTGCTGCGCGAAAGATGGAAGCGACTTATAGACAGCCTATGGCCAGTATAAGAAGCTTCTCGAAATCATTGATGTTGAGCTAGTCTTTTTCTTATTATTATTATATCTAAAACAACTAGAAAGAAGATAATAAATCTGCCTTCTATTATCGGAAAATGACAAAAAAATTTTTTTTGACTTATAACATTGATACATTAACACATTGATAAATATATAGTATATATTTCTTTATATGAACTACACTTTATTACTATTTTGTAAACTAATAAATACTTTGATCTTTAAATCGTTACAGTTCACTTGAGAAATGAGAAATTGACTACATACCATTGAATCAAAATACACAACGAAGTTTAAACAATTTCTTCTGGCATGAACATTTAAAATAATCAGTGATGGGTGAAAAAAGTAAGTAAATATCTTTAATAACAAATATAGTCAAATGTGGGGCGTAAATAGAACATGACAAAGTTCTTCAGAATTGCATATTAATTTCATAGTAAAAGCCATCTCATGATATGCAAACGCAATCTGTAATTTGAAACTCTTAATAAAATGAGCTCAAGTATTTAACTTAAAACGCTATGCGTTCCAGTTCGGTTTCCTTGGTATGTTGATTAGGCATATTTTGTATTTATGCAAGTCTAGCTGTGGGTTGGCAGAAGCATAAGTCACGAAAATGCTTATGTCAGAAATTATTCGACCAAAACGTCGCCATTGTCGGGTCGCTATTACGATCCATTCATGTTTAAGTCGTTAAATATGAAACTCCACTTCACAAACATGCAGTGAAGAGTAATAGTTTCGGAATTTCACTCATTTTGCTCTGCTATTTTATTGTTATATTGAGTTGTACATAGCTTTAGTTAATTTATTTATATCTACATGCATTTAATTACTTCAAAATCTAAGAAAATCATATTATGAAGTTATGAAAATTGTTTCTTATAACTTTTTAAAAGCTTTTCAAAAGTTTCATTTAAATGTAAATTTTATCCTTAATTTTATCCTTAAATTTGATGGATTTTCATAAATTCACTTCAAGTTAAGTATTTTAATATGAATGCATATACATTAAAAATAAACAATGCTTAACTCAAGGTATATGTTGATCCTTTTTTCGAGTCAGCGCAACTGGGTACTATTACTCTTTGATAGCTGGGGGTACTATAGGGTCCCACCCATCAATGAGATGAGACTAATTTATGTATTGCCTATAAGCTTCATGATTATTCAGTGATTGATCTAAGATCTGCGTACCTCCCCGTGCGGAGAGTGATTATGTATTTCTTGATCGGGTCTATTCTAAGGTCTCTTAGCATGTCGTTTGTACGGATGTACCAAGGCAGTTTGAAGAGCCTTCAGAGAGCCTGACTTTGAGCGACTTGTAGCTTTTGTATAGTAGAGTCGGCAGCTTTGCTATACGCGACACACCCATAAAGTAATGCTGGTCTAATTATCTGGCTATAGATCAGTTTTCTGTTCTTCACGCTAAGGTTGTTGTGTTTGAAAAGTGGTTGTAAGCATTGCAGTGTTTTAGCGCAGCTGCTTCTTTTGACTTGTGTATGCTTATGCCAAGTGAATCGCTTAACTCAAGGTATTTTTAGTAAAGTTTGTCAAAACCTGAACTAAATTAAACAATTAAATTTGACAATACAAACTGTTTATAATCCTATTTCCGGCATAAACGCGTACTACAAACGCATGAAATATTTCCTATTGCATGCAATATTTATTTATATTTACATTTAATATTTACTTACATTTACATTTCCGCATAAATGCATTCATACATTACAACAATAATAAGCAATAAACAATAATAACCTTACAAACTTGCATTCTTGCATTGCTAGCACTTCTCATTCGGTTAGCTACTTATTGCACACAAAACGTGTGCTTCACGTTATCATTTTCACCTCTACTTTGCACATGAGATATAGGTAGCTGTGAAAATATTCATGACCAAACAGGAACAGAATGAGGCAGTAGTAGACCTCTTCACAGTCCCTTGCTAGCCAGTTTTGCAGCTATGAGTTGAGGTTCGCTGTCTATCGTCCATGGTTATCTCAGTCTCAACGTTGCTGTCTTGCTACTATGATCTAGCAACTTATCGACTGTCTGTCGGTATTGCTGTTTTCCATAAAATATATTGTTTCTAATATGTCTTTCACCCTTAAGCCTGCAGATCAATGGGGATATTTCCACTAACATATCACTGGCACTGCTGTTTCGGTGTTTCGTGCAGTACGCTAAAGATATTCTTAAAGCTGCTGTTCAGTGCAATGACGATAACCCTTTTCTGCGATATTGTGGTTGTAGTTCATCGTCAGTGTAAGTATATGGAACTGTGTTTTGCTTTGTGTGGATCCTTTTATGTTTGTCTTAAGTTTACTCAATACTGTTATAGCTTTGCCAGCTTTCGTTTATTCTTCCTCAATTTGGGCTCAAAATGTTAGTCTAGACTAGACTAGACTCAGGATGTTAGTTTAGACCTTATTATTTGACTGTTTCTGTGACATTGTAGTATTGGCACATAATCGCATCTCAAAATCTAATTGCATGTGTTTCCTTGTGAGAAAAACCAACTCCGTATTCTCCGCGGCAAGTATGAGTCCGTAATCATCTAACCATGCCTATATTAAAAATATTACTATATTACGCTTTCGTAGCGTATCTTCAGTGTTTTGTGCCATTATCACTGCGACTTTGTCGTCTGCAAATGCCACCAAGTGTGCATCGTTGACTTTTCAAGCTCTAGGATGTCATCGTAATTATCATTCCACAGCTGAGGTCCGAGGACAGATCCTTGCATCGTTTTTGGTCGATCACAAGTGTAATAAACTAGCTCACGATTTTCCAATTAGCTTGTGATTATATTCAACAAATAATGTGGAACTTTGAATTTGTTTTTTAGTGTATCGGGAATGTCGGCCTATATCACACTGATAAACGCATTGATTGCGTCAGCGTTGCAAGCAGAACAATGTTGTCAGTACGTGCAGGGTCTACTGTTTCGACTTGCAGTGCCATTATAGAAGAAGAATGCTAAACAATAGTCGGTTAAAATATACGCAGTGGCCAGTGCGTAACGCATTGTTTTAGAATAAAAAGCCACTATTAGGCTTTCGTAAGAATTTTTCATTGCATTTTCATTGTGATTCGCCAATAATGTATGTTCAAAGCATCCGAGCATAATGAAATCTCTACCATAAGAGACAATTAGGTAAATTTGTTAAGATATCACATATGTATCTAACCGTGATGTTACATTTGTTATTTTACTGTATATGTTTTTATTTGTGCTTTTCTGTTTTTTTTTTGTTCAATAATCACAAAGCTGAACGAAGTTTTCTTTTACGAAAATTTTTGCACTTAAATTGGGGGTCTTGTTTTTGGTAACACTTTTATGATTTCACTTTTCAGCCTGGTTTTTCATTAAAGTGTAAACATTGTGAGTATTTACCAAGTTGCAGATACATTTGCTCGTACGTATATTTCAGTTTTATTAGATTGTTTTTGTTTTCTTAAATTCACTTTCGTATGGGTTTATTTATGAAATTTATTATTTAATTTTGTTGCTACGGATATGTATGAGTTAACAGAAATACACATACCAACTGGTATGTGTGAATATATATAAAATTATGAAAAGGGACACGAAAAGGTCTTTAATTGAATTCATGTTCACTTTCGATTTTGTTTGTGTTACAAACGGATTTCCGCTACACATTTTAGGGTTTATTAACACTTTACATTTTTATTTTTAAATAGACATATGTTTATTTAATAGTATGTAGTGAAATATGATTTTTTACCGGTTTGAGTAAAATTGCAAATCGCAATGCGAACTAAGGATTATTAAGATATCTTTTCCAATTTTTACTTATGAAATATTTCAAATTTGTTCAGTTTGTATTTCAGATTTATTTATATATGTATATGTCTTTTATCCCTTTTTCTTCATAAAACACAAGTAAGTGTTTAAATGCGTGGTTCCCAAAGATTCCCGGTGGTCCGCGGACCAGAAATGATCGGACAAATGTTTAAAATGGTCCGTGAATCCAATTTTATAGGTATGAAAAACATACATAGTTTTTAGTTTGTCCACTAAGACCTTATTTATTAGAAAATAAACACAAAAATGTCCAAGTAATTATATATCTATTTTATATTCTATATAATGTTTGTTACCTATGCACTTACACAATTCATTATACATTATACCAGAAATATGTAAGGTATATTAAAATAGTCATAGGTACATTTTATTATTTTTAAACTTTGTGGTCTCTACTAAAAGTAAAAGTATCATAGTGGTGGCTGGTCAAAAAAGATTGGGAACTACAAGCCTAAAGCATTTCACTTAGTAGTTTCTGTAATCATTTGAATGAATCACTGCAACAAGTGTTCCATTCGAATATGTTAAGTTATTTCGAAAACTTTACAGAAATATAGCTTAAAGTCCTGCATAACTTCCTGATGGAATATATATTGCATTTATTTTATTGATTAATTTGTAGTAAGTAAGAAATTAGCCTGATTACTGCGATTTTCAAAATCAATATTGCGTGAAAAATTCCTAAAAATCGATTTTTTTGATACATTTTTTTTAATGATGAAAGTCACTTCCTGATCAGTAATATTATTGATAGAAAGTCGGTCTTTCATTTGGATCAAATAAAATTATAGTATGTTCCATTTACCCACTGTCGTCATTCCATTTTAATGACGATAATGGGTTTTTAAAATCAATAGTCAATAGTGTAGTTTTTGAAATACTTTCGTAGTCGTCATATATCCGAAATAATTTTTGGTTATTATTGTCACAAAATTATATATTTCTGACTTTTTCCGACAACAAGAACTTCAAACAGTTACCTCCTGGCCTTTATTTGAAATTGGTTATGCTTAGATGTTGTATGTATTTTACTACGATTCCAAAAGTGAACTGAATACTACTATAGCTTAACAACAATTTCGACTACAATTTAACAATTGACTTCACTAATAATTAGACTATAACAAAAGACTATAGACTATTGAAATGCTACCATTGGGTAGCAGTATGTCACTAATTCCGATCAGGTGGGTAGATATAGTAAAAGGATAGTCAAAGCTAACTTTTCAGTTAGCTAATTATAATTCCACATTTCTCTTAATTGTGAGTAGGAATACCACAGTAAAAAATAGCGCTGGTTTACGTCTGGTTTTGGACAATTCTGGACATAAACGCAGAAAGGCGTTCTGGTGTCTCCTCCTTAAGCCCCGGAGGAGTTACTACAGAATATTCGACAGAAATTTAGATATTATCTTTAATATTCCCGATCAACTTCTGTGAACTAAGTCAGAGGTTCTAAATAAAGAATGTAAAGATCTTGCAGCTCTTGATCTGGCTGCTGAAGACATGTTGGCCAATTTTCTTTTAGTCTGTAGCAAAAAAAATGTCATGGACTACCTTTCATCGTCTAATTACTATTGCTGTATATGATAAATGATGAATAAATCAACTTTCGTTTTATTATATTTGATATATTAATATATATGTATTTTTTTGAATAATGTTAATCTCAATGATCAACAATAATTTAAATAAAGTTATTGAAAAAAAAATATTTCGAAGCCATTCTTGCCGTAGTTCCTATTTTACAAAACTCAGTCCTTATTTATTTTTAAAGTTAACCTACTTTAAAGGCTTAAAACATATACCTAAACCTATATTTTGTATTTATAACCTTACCAAATTTAATTTTGATGAATGAAGGATAATAGATTACCTGCTGTCAGTGACTTGCAATCTTTTCTAATTGTAGAATGATATATTTTAGTACTAAATCTTATTTTTCTAAACATTATTGACATAGGTATACCGAACTAAAAGTTTCTACCATTTACACTTTAAATCTAGATAGGTATAAATTTATAAGTGCCATCTTAACTTTCATGTAAAGTAATACTTTTTATGATCCACAAACATTATTCAAGTATAATTTGAACATATTTTTTAGCAGTTTCAAAGTATAAATCATATATAGATGTTTCTTAAATATATGTTATGTTCGGGTCTTCAGGGTCTTATGATAACTTTGTGATTCCGAATGAGTTGGAAACATTTGCTTATATTAAGCGAAAATTTAGATTGTCTTCTTTTAGTCGCCAAATTATTATAAATGTAACGGATGTGATCCTAGCACTATCCTAAATTAATTTAATTAACCTTATATACATAAATTGTTGGCACAAATATTAAAAGAGAAATGATGTTTATTTAATATGGTTTTACTTTGGTGAAATATTTGCGGCAAAAGTAAACAATTTTTATCATTTTTTTGTACTTCTGCTTGCATTTAGATGATTTGTGGGGTCCGGTTTGGTTGGTTCTCTTGATTCCACATGGTGATGGAATACCGAATACACACCGTTAAGGTCTTTATTTCCCACAACGAGTCCAGCTATCTTTTCAGCATGTTTAGCAATTCTTTCAGATTTGTCCCCAGTAACTTGCTTCTTCTTACTTCGACTACGTTTTTCCGCTGGCATTGTTACTTTTACTTTGCCTACAATTTATAACAAATATATTGTTTATTAAAAGTTTAATAATAATTAACAATTGCTGTTTTAATTTTTTTTATTAACTTTTAAAGAAACTCACCGCAAATATTTACCCAAAATTTTGTAGTGATTTTTTAATAAATTTTTAATTTAATGTGAAACATTGCTTTATATTTATTTTCAAAAAATTGTTTTTATTTAAAATCAAAGTGGTTGCTTAGATTAAATTTTTAATATTTTTATTTACTGCTATTTAATATTAACAATTAATATTTCAAATTTTTACTAGTGGTTTTTAGAAACAAACATCATTATTTTGTTTGTTGTTTATTTTTCTACATAATCTCTTAACTTGATACACTGTATTTCCTTCTTCAAGTTCTTTAACCCCTTTTAATAATATTTCTAGTTAAAGTCCTCAAGATATTCATTTACAGTTTATGTCGCCTATTCATTTGACAAAAATTTTCTTTCCATAATCAAACTTAAAGTTTTGGGAAATACTTGCTGGGGGCCAGAAATTCGTAAATTGGAGATATAGTAACTTCAAAATTGTCCTGGCAAAACAAAATATTTCTTCGGCAAAAGAGATTTTTTAGGAAGGTAAGGCTTTTTATTTATCCAGTTATGTGGCATAGTATGTTCCAATTATTGTGTGATCCTGTTTGATATAGTTAACGATAATTCAGCATAATCGTTCAACTTTCTCGGAACTTTTTAACTATTTTAAATTTTAATTCTTAATTGGACTCCGCAGATTAGTAGTGGATTCATGTATCATTTATAGTTGTGAAGAGTCTATCATGTTTAACATACAGCATGATAATAACACTTTAAAGATGCGCAAGTAATTGCGTGTTTGGTCTAAGGGTTACAAATGTGGAACTCTTGGAGAGCTTTTTTATTCCTATATTTTAATACCATATTTTCCAAATGTATTAGGGAAACACCCACTGGCTCAATAAGTTCTCTGATACTGATTTATACAATCATTGAACATCTAATATCTTTTGATACCAATAACGCAGCGGTGGATGTCAGGAACACATCTTTTTATAGTTCACGTTAGCTTTATTTAATTGGAATTTAAATAACAATGGTGTATTATCTTAAAAAACAGAAATAAATCATAATGATTAAATCAAAATGTATATACTGTTTTTTTAATAAAATTGAAAAACGCTATCCTTATAATATATCGTAAATTAAATAACATGATAGAATGATGCTAAAAATTATTATCCACTTATATCATATGGTTTTTTGTAATAGTATCCCGACTAGAAATTGCTTTAGGATGACCGTAACTTTGTCTATACCGGATTAGGATATCTAGTTCTAAATCCAACTTACTTATAACGAATAACCGTACCAAAAACAAAACTGGCAGTATATGCTACTCTTAACTTGAACGCAAATCCTTTTTACTACCTTACCTGACACGAGTCTTATAAGATATAATTCTCAGAGACTTAATATGAAGTTTTGTTGTTATCAAAATAAAAAATTTCCTGCTATTTCCTGCTATTAACGATTTCCTAAACTCATAAAACAAGTCTTCTTTTAATAAGCATCATAGTATATCACACCCATATCTGAAATTTATCACATATTTGGCACTGTATTCATCGGTTAATAAATGATACCCTTTTTTCAGTCGTATTATATATAGTTGTCTTATTTGTTGTACGAAACGATTTCTTTTTTTTTAACTAAGAGGTAATATTTCAGTTCTTCATTTGATACGAATCATCTATGGAACCATTACCAAATAGGTATTAGGAATTTTTGCACAGTTAACTAATACGAATCATCAAATAAGGAACCATAGGCGTATTGAGACATAAAGTTCGGTTACAGATACAAAACGAATATAATATACAACATTCTCGAGTAGTGACTATTTTTACAACAAACAAATTTAACCAAGAAATCCAACTTTAAACTACACTACCATGAAATATTATTTCTGTTGATTTCTTTTTATCACTTCAGAGAAATAGATTATAATATTAAAAGAATATATTGTAAAATGTTCAGTAATCACAATTCTTATTATTATTGAAAGAAATGATAGTGCACTGCGACCTAAAATATCTACTGTGCCCCTTAGTCGGATTAGAGTGTTTCTTCAAGTCAGATTTCTTTAATGACTAGACTAGGACTATCTTTCCTAGTCTGGGATTTCCTTATAAAATACCCTTATGATCCATGAAATACCCTCCTAGTTGATTCTTCCACTTGTGCATCACTGCCGGACACTCCTCAAGCACATGGTATGCAGTTTCTCTCTCTTCTCTACAGTACCAGCAGTCTGAGTTGGATTAAATTCCTAACTTCGATAGGTGATTATTCAATCTACAGTGACGGGTCAATTCCGCAATAATTCTTAGGCTATTGTTTGATTGTGCTATGCAATCTTTGAAGCGTTTTAGGTTGTAAGTCCCTAAAAGCATTTTAGTTTTTTACAATCAACTTTCTGACAAAATTTTGAAATAGCTTATGGATATTCTTATAGATGGATTGAGCTTTGGAGGTCAATCAACATCTATAAAATTTGTTGTGGGCAATCGGAAATACATCAATGTTATACTTGTGAACTGGTACAGCCTCGCTAATTAGCATATAGTTAATACACTATCTTACACAGTCATGTAGTTGTCATTCATCTAATCATGTTGTATTATTAAAAATTTCACTAGTTTTAAGAAATTAAGTGAAATTTGTCTTTACGAGCATTTCAAATCAGAATTCGAAAATTTTTATTGCTTTTGTGTTATTCAAAAAACGTACTATTTTTAAACAAGTATTCCTCTAAATAAATACCGCTTTGATAATCTACAATGAGATACATTTCAGTTTCATATTTTTAATACAATTATTTCTTTTAAACTAATTTAAATCCATCACACATGACTTGCAGAAGAAAGTCTCATATTGCTCAATGTCACAACAATTAACCTAGAACAAAAATCTTATAAGAGTTGCTGAAAAGATTTCTCTTCGTGAGCTTATCTGTTGATCACTTAAGTATCTTTTCACACTTTAATAAGAGTCTTCATTTTCAGATAGGTTATCTGCATGTATGAGTACTTTAAGATTTCACATTAGACGCAAGACTATTTATGCTTTTTTTCAAGTACGTATGTTAATGTAAGTTAATTGCTTGTACGCGAGTTGAGGTTTCACATTAAAAAACAGCCATAAAAAAGGCTGCTGCTGTTAAAATTTCAAAAGAAATTCTTTATATATTAAATGGATTAATAAAGAAAATAAGAACAGTACATAATGCCAGAGTTTAAAATATTTAATTTAATCATTTCAAGCAAAATATTTGGGTTTTGTAAGAATTGTTGTTATCTAGAAAACCCAACCGGCTTTCTTCAAGTCAGAATGGTTGGAATGGTTTGACAAGTTGTAGTTAAGAGGTTACTACCGTGAAATGTCTTACATCATATATTTTTATTGCGTGAGAAAATGTTACGGTTAGAATACCATATTATACCATTTAATATATCTTCAAGAACCTAAAATTGTGTAAACATTTTTTTTTTTTGATTTGAATTGCACTTTTTAAAAAGTTTTTAGCTGTTAAATAAATGAAAATGCAGACAGTATTTACATACTAGAAACTAGTAATATAACCTGTAGTCATAGAAAAATATTTGGTTTTATAAAAAGTAATTTTATTTTATTAGGTATATACAGAACGATTAAATAGAATAAATTGTTATAAATTCTCCAGATTCATGACGAAACATTCTCTCTCTCAGCATCACTTCTTCCTTTTTCTTGTTAATTTGTTATATTAATTATATTAGTTCACATATGAGTTTAACGTGAACATACAAACAGTCAGTTCTTGCTGTCTCTATTTTTAATGGCACGCTAAACCCCAATGAGGTTAAACTGAAACCCCCATTTAAAAATTTGCATACACCTGTAGGAGTTTAGTTTTTATAACATACGATTGATCTACTGTTATCTGCGTTTGTATTTCGGTTTCTATATCTAATAGCGTGCAAACTAAGATAGATGGCTGTCACATAAAAGTTAAGTTAATTTTACATATACCTATATGTACAAATTCTTCTCAGTTTCATGCAAATATATATTTTAATATAAATACTAAGCTATTATTATTTAAATAAAGATAAAGATAAAATAAGTTTGGGTATGATAAACGCTAAGGTCTTGCTTATGTCACTTAAAATACAATTCAATTAGACGGATGGAGAGTTTCCATCTTTACCTTAAAAGCTATTATTGATGACTTCTGATTGACACTAAAAATTTGTCGAAAATTGAGCTAAAAATGTAATAATATTGCACTTAATTTCATATTATATAGATTATAGAAATTTATGTTCATTATAGGGACAATAATAGCAGGCAATACACAGAAATAATAAGTAAAGTCGGTCCTAGAACAAACTTGTTTTAGCCAACTCTATAGCTTAATTTTGCAATGTAAAAAATATAACTTGGTATATCATTTATTAATTAACTTAATGTAATTTATTAACTGAACCAGGTCTTTTTGTGTTATCTAGTAATTAAATTAGTCAGGCCTTAAATTAAAATTTAAGTCAGGCCCTTATGGTACATACATATGTAACCCCATGTTTACCTTCTATACTATTAAGTAAAAGGTTTTTTGCACAAACATTTTACTATATATTTAACAGGTAAATAATAGTATTCGCCTCATATTAAGTGCCATAATATAGTATATGCATAAACTGTTATATTAAAAAATACAAAGTATTGTACAAGGAATTTTATTTTTGGGTAAATATTTGCGGTAAAGAACTCAACGGCTATATCTTCTGTAAGCTCTTTTTCACCCACAACATATCCGGTCATTTTACCAACATTATTCCGAACGTACTGTTTTTTGCTTTGGTATCTTAAGATAGGTTACGATATAATCTTTTAATCTTTGTGCACTTTTTTTTACCTACAACATAACAGGATATCTTATGAGGATTATTCCGAACGTACTGTTTTGGACTCTTAAGATAGTAATAGGATATAATTCTCTCAAGTTTGTGAGCTCTTTTTCATCTACAACAACCTCAGTCATTTACTTAGAATATTTAGGATATAATTTCTATTTGTGAGCTCTTTTTCACCTACAACAACCTAAGTCATC